TCATATCAATGACGAAACCACTTTCCATACAATGAAAGATGCAGTTAAACATTAAAATTTGGTGATTCTACATGTGTGCGTGTTTACTCAGCAAGTGAAGGCCGTTTTCGATTTTCGTGCTGAATAGACAGTTCGAAGAGAATGCCATGCAGAAGGACAGAGACAAACGTTTTAGAATCGCGGCAGCGTTCTTCTGCGACAGTTTCGACGAAGAAGACGACGAAGAGAAGGAGGACAAAGCCCCGCTAACGAAAGAATCGAAGAAAGTTTTCTCGCAAACAACCTCTGACGGTGATTCGCTAAGCGTCACGGGGAAGTCCAGCATCACAAACACGAAGGTTCTCTCAAAGTTGGTCGCCCCTGATCCTGAACTTGCGACTTCCACCTTGTACGTGGAAGATCGCGCCTCTAAACGCTTGAAATCGTCCAAAGACTCATCAAACAATGTGGGCGAACACGCAATACCAGGTTGTTGTAACGCAAGAAAAAAATATAACAGGGACAGTGATGTGATTTCGAAAGTTAAAACGCGAAGACTGGCAGTGCCGGTGACGGGTTTCGACAGTACTTTTCCTGCGCTCAAGCACGAAGAAGTTATCGCAAAGGAGTTATCTGCGAGGTTTCAATCTTCATCAATCGAAGACTGCTCAACGCGAAGCCTGGCAATGCCGATGATAGATTCCGATAGTATTTTTCCTGCGCCCAAGCACGAAGATGATGTCACAAAGGAGTTATCCGCGAGGTTTCAATCTTCATCAATCGAGGACTCAGCGCGCGCTTATACGAAATCCACTGCTGTGGACAGATCGAAACATTCTCAATTGACGCCCGACTGTTTAGAGATTCCTTCAGAATCTAGCGAACCCTGTCGTTTTTCAACATTATCAGAGCGTTCGACAAGTGCCAAAGAATCCTCAGATGTCGGGAAAGTACGGGATATAGTGCCACAACCTTCACTGATAGCCACTGTGCGAGATAGTTTCGACGAGAAATCTAGCAAGAACAACGCAAGTCGCAGGTCAACGTTGCCGATGACAAGCTCTGATTTGAACCAACCTATTTTGCAAAGCTTGACGACCGAGGCCAGCCAGAGGTCGCCGACCTTCCAAGATATCCTAGCTGGCACCAGCGTGAATCCAATCCGGAAGTCCAGCATAGCAAACGCGGCTATCTGCTCGAGTCTGGCGCCGAGCTTGCTCGGAGCTATCCCCGGTGTGCCGAATTCCCTCTTGCCGAACGGGGACTACAATCTGCAGCGAAGTGCCACGTTGTCGAATCTGTCAACCGCTTCCTCCGCCATCAGTGACGACATTTCCATTGGTAGAACGCGTCGCGGATTGAGGTCGTTCCTTCGTCTTCACATACCCGAGCAGCAACCCACGACCTGGCACGACACCGACGAGGACTACCATCCTCCATTGCACAATCATCACCATAATTATCACGTGTTCTCGCATATTCACGTACCCACCATCACCTTCACGGCACCGGCCACCGACGGTATCGGTCGCAAGTTTAACTTCGCCATCCGAAGGCACTCACAGGCGGTTAGTGTAAAGCCAGGCTGCACGTCGTTTCGACATTTTCGTTAACATTTCTTCTTTTTATTAATACCCATTGAGAATGTGCCACGAACCATCTTTTTAATCAAGTAAAACATTTTTGAATTGGAAGAAGCTAAAGTAGCATAATATAGAATATTAACAAGTAATTTTCAAAGATTAATGTAGATTTGTAAAACCTATTCTAAGTACGAAGTTACACCCAAAATAGATCGTACAAATTGTGGATTTATTCCATTCTTGGCCTGAATCCTTTAAATAATTAACAGCCTTTAGGAATTAATTTTAATATTTATTGAAAGAATGGCGTGAAATAACCAGGTTATGTTGATGAAACCGCGAACAAATGAGAATTAAAACTCTTTGCCGTTACTTTATCGAGCATATTGAAGCCAAGCACGGCGATGGTATCACGTGTCAGATTGACTAGACGTTGACACAAGTGTGTCTCTATAACATTTGATTTGATTAATTTGTATAGTAGCACATGCTCTGGTTAAAATAATTTACGCTTTATTGATAAGCCTGTTTAAGATCGAACCGAGTCGAAACGATGACGACGTTCTTGTCGCCGCGAATAATAGAACGTTAATTGTTGCAATTGCAGGCCACCGAAGAGTGTCAACCGTTGTAGACGTAACTTGAGCCTTTATCTTATCGGAATTGTTGGATTTGTAACTGGCAAGATTAATCCGCGCGAGTGGAAACCGAATGTTACGGTCGGTAATCTATCTAATAATTACCTCAGAGAATGATTGTTTTGCGTTATCATATTAATACGAATTCAATAATTTGACGAAATATTATAGAAAGATTATCAAAGTTGAAAATTTGGACAATTAAATCTCAAACTAAATGTCTAAAATCTCGTATATCTTCATGAAACATTAATCCTGCTATTATCTAACTATAGCTCACTAAAATTCTAAAAGTATTTTTTAAATCTCGAGATAGACATACATTATACAATATTCACTTAAAGTAAATTACACTTTAGAAATTTTTTAACCACGAACCGTTCACGATTTTGAAACTATTCCTGTACCTTTTAACTTAATAACGGAACTACGATCGATAGATGATTTGATATTCAATATCGTAGACGACGTAAACTAATATCCGTGGTATGGATAAAACGCATCAGTCTTACGTGTCACGGAAAATTTTGGAGAGACTTACGTAACGCCAGGTGCCACGTACGTGCACACATAATGGAATCTTGCCCGACTCGGTTCTGTCATCGATCTTGATGGCTAATGCCCGCGCTATATCTGCCGACACTCGCGAATTAACACTATCTCCGATGCAAAGCGTGCATCAGTATCGTCCACCGTGGTACGTATAGCAACCCATACCACTGCCAGATATTTCAGCGTAGTGACAAAATCAGCCGCATGAAATAGAGCTGATCTAATATACCCCTATGTGTGTGTGTGTGTGTGTGTGTGCTTGTATACGTTTGCACGCCCGCAACATCGGATTTTTATTCAGTAGAGTTCGGGCCGTAGTAAACGACGAATGGTGTTATAATTCCTGTAAGAGACTCCAGACATTGAAAAAAATTCTCTTAGGATAATTTCGACTCGAAAATCAATGCGGAAACATGTTTCAAAGTTTCGACTTTGCATTAGAATCCGGATTTCTGGCAGATCGCTCCTTTCGTTGTCTTTTATCAGGTATCTATTCATTTTTAGTTTAAAATGTGAATTATCAGCAGCGTTCAAAATCTGGATTTAACGTTAACAGAGTTTATACGAGATTTGTGTAATTTATAATTCGTAGCAAAGTTTAGTGGCAAAGCTATTACTATCGCCGTTCGACACGCGAGAGAGGCAGAGGACTTTCGCATCGAAGGATTACAAGTATATAATCCCGTCATGGTGTGTTTAGCGTTATCTTCTTACATACCGTAAATGCCAAGTCAATTTACGCGTATTAGGTTGCGTAGATTTTATCGATAATATACGTCAGCGAAATGTCATTAACTGTTGCCGCAGGATTAAAAGAAATATGGACGCTATTTGCTACAGGATTATATCTCTGTTCAATGTTTAATGGTACATTTTAACTGTAGTAACATCTAGAGTGTTGCAACATCTGATATATGTATGTAATTCCGCAATGCAAAACTCGGTGCGCAAAGCATTACAACAGATTCGATTTTAATCGGATTTTACTGTAAGTATTGCCCGAGCGTGAAAAATTTCTGTCACTAATCAATTTATGGACTGTGCATGGAAAATAACGTGAGTGCTGAACAGATGGCAAGAAGAAAATTGGACAGAATATTTTAAACAAAGCGAAAAATTGTAACGAGAAAAATGATGTACGTACACAATCATAAAAGACAGAGAAATAATTAACATAACAAAAAGCAATGAATAATAAATACTAAAGTCAGTTTAATATTTATGAAGCATAAAACAAATACTTGCTTTCGAATTTTCATTTCTTTTATATTTTGCCTTGCATCTGCGGTCTACATTAACTAACTTTTCGTCGCTAACTTTTCGTCGCTCAGCTACTTTTGCCATACACGTGATGGTTCCTTATCATTCACGTGTGTCGCTCACTGACCCAGATTCCATTCTGCAAGATTGAGAAGCGCAAGCAGAGCGTTCTCCATTTCTCCTGTCGCGAATGGAGAACGCGCGCCCCGCTTGCGGTTGCAAACTAATTGTAAGTTGAAGCGATTACAGTTAATACGCAATACTTTTACGCACGCTCACTGCTGTCGTACGTCTATCGCCGTTAAAACAAAACATTATTAAGTGTTACATCGCTCGAGAACAGAGGAAAAACTCGGCTGCATAATGCCGATCTTTGTTTCAATCAGAAACGAAGCGAGAATATGTCCTTTTATTTCAGTTTGGAGTTAAAACTGGATGTCTTACAAGCGCAAGTTTCAACATAGAAACCCGAGAAGTATGAATCAGAATTTCGGAGATCTCAAGGGAATGTAGTTTTCAGTTTATTTGAGTTTGCTTGAGATTAATACTTATGTCACAGAGAGAACGAGATTGCCCTCCGACGATCCAAAATCGGCGCTTGCTCCGCTGCTTCTACATCTCGATAACTCGAAAGCTTATCTCTGTAATATATTGTAGCCCAGCTGCACCATTCGCGTCGAATATTTCAGCATAATATATTCAGACTAAAAATAGTCATAGATAAAATTCAGATAAACCCAAGGAGATCCAAATTTCTTTAAAATCATTAAATTTTCTACTCGACAATTATGATAATTCTGAATAATTGATAAATAAATTGAATGGTGCATTTTGCTATATATTTCGCGCATATGTATATGTTTTTTCTGTGAACGACGATTGAATTTACCTAATCTGTGAGTTTTTCTAATGAACTTTTAATAACAGCGACAAAAATCGAACGTGACTGGTCGAAATTTAACAACGATTTTTTTTGCCTCTTTTACAGACATTGCATCGGACTGACTCGATGGTATCGCTTTGTTACCGATCACTCGCGAGCTATATCACAGATGATAATCTCGTCGGACTGCAGAACTTCCTCGAAAATAAGCGAGTGCAGGTCGACGACAGAGATGAGGTAAGCGTGAATCGCTCGAAAAAATTTCCAAAGATTATTCGACCGTGACCAGAAATTCCAGAATAAAATTATAATAGCAGTCGATATAAATAGACGATAAAAGTCTTCTCAGCAAAAAAATTTGAAGAAGAAATAAATATAAAAATAATTTATGCTAGATAATCTCTCTGAATTAAATAGATAGCTCTACATGATTCATGAAGAGCAGTATTCTTCTTGTATTCGCCGTGTTCAAGCCGTCTCGAACCTTCTAACAAATTATTTTCTTATGACAGAATGGTAGCACCGCCCTCATCCTTGCAGCAACCAAGGGAAAAATACACTTCGTTCGAGAGATCATCAATCATGGAGCGGACGTCAACGCTGAAGACGCGGTTGGTATCCGTTGATTGTAATCGTAGATCGTTTGATTATACGTAATAAATAACAATTCTAATATATGCACGTTTCTGTATAATTTCTCAGGATAACTGGACAGCGTTGCTGTGTGCGGCAAAGGAAGGCTACACTGAGATATGTTTCGAATTGCTCGAGCATGGTGCCGATTTGGAGCATCGAGATATGGTCAGAAGAAGTTGCATATTTTACTAGTCTGGCGTAATGCCATTAATGCAAATCTGTAACTGGAGTTTCATCATATTTGCAAAAATTCCGTTCGCTTTCGTCATACATACCAAGAATTTTAATGCTATCGTCTCTTATTCATCGCCAAAAGTTATTTCCATTAATATACAGAGTTTTATTAAAATTTTTAATATATTATAAATATAATATATTAAATTTAATAATATTTTAACGATTTATACGTTTTTTGTCAGTTAATTTACATTCTTTTAACAAAAAAGTATATAAAATCTAATAGAAGAGTTTATTTAGCTATATAGACGTCTGTGTAAAAAATTAGCGCTTTTATAGATAAGAAATCGAAGGATCGAAAGTTCTTTTATTGCAGGGTGGATGGACAGCGCTCATGTGGGCGACATACAAAGGTAAATCGGCGACGGTGACGATGTTGCTGGGGCGCGGGGCTGACGTCAACGCGCATGGAAATTTTCATATATCCTCATTAGTATGGGCTGCTGGCAGGGGTTACACTGATATAGTGAAAGATCTCATTGCTCATGGAGCGAAGGTCAATGTCGGCGACAAGGTAATTGTCGGTGGACGTACCGCAAATCGATGACCATCGCTTCGCTCTCGAGATACTTATACTCAATTTTTTCAGTATGGTACGACGGCACTTGTATGGGCGTCGCGCAAGGGAAATGTAGAAATTGTTGATATGCTTCTTAAGGCTGGAGGGAATGTCGACACAGCGGGCATGGTAAGATCAATATACCGTTGAAAAATATAATATACGGAAGTGATGGCTTCCAAGTTGATAAAAAATAATATGGTAAAAATAGAACGCCATATATAACCATATACATGATTATACAGATTTATTTCTTATTCGCATAAACTTATAGGATATTTTAATTTTAAACCAAGGTTGGCCACGTATGCCAGCCATTTACACATAATTGTCGAGTCAGCGTATCTGTTGTCTATGTGTCTATTTTCTACGTGTTCTTTTTTATTTATTATATTAAATTATATATTATAACGATCGCGGAACAGTAAGTCGTCCTCGTGAAAGAGAAAGCAAAGCTGAAACCGACGTGCACTGCACGAATTAGTTGTGCGAATCTTGTCAAATTCGAGACTCATCCATTACGTTATATTTATGTCATATTAATAATAATAACTTGACACTACATTCTTATCACGAAAAAGAAATATTGGAATGTAATAAGAAATATTTCAGAAATTTTCCAATTTTAATATTAGATTATGAAGATAATTTTTGACATTTATACGTGCTTTTAACAACTTTCTTTGCAGTATTCATGGACTGCTCTGGTCGTGGCAACCCTCGGTAATTATGTGGAGGTGGTATCGTTACTATTGGAGCACAAGCCCAACGTGAACGCTCTAGACAAAGACGGTTGCACCGCCCTAGCAATTGCCTGCCGTGAAGGTCATCACGAAATAGCGAACGCCCTTTTAAATGCCGGTGCTTACGTTAATATTCAGGATCGGGCCGGCGACACAAACCTAATCCACGCGGTTAAGGGTGGCCATCGGGGCGTGGTGGAATCACTGCTGAAAAAATACGCAGACGTTGACATTGCTGGAAAGGTATGACTCGACTTATTTTTCTCCATACCCGCGTATCTTCCTCGAAGATCGACTTGCAAAAAAAAATAATTTTGTCACCGAGTATTGCGGTTGCCAAATATTGATCATTCCGATAAGCCGGATTATTACGTGCGTCGAATTACATGTGGTGGAATAAACTTGTTAAAGTAATCTAGCGATTCGAGTCGATATTGTGGACACTTTAATAAGAGCCAATCTTGTGGTATCGGATCTTGTGGTATCCCTAAGCCACTTCGAGCTAGGTTCGTGCGTGACATCCCCCGTGGATACTTTCGAATCATTCCAATCGAACTAACCATCCCATCCGTATATATTTTAGGATAAAAAAACCGCAACTTACATAGCAGTAGAGAAAGGCAATATACCGATACTCAAATTATTACTAAACGCTAACCCAGACCTGGAGATTGCTACGAAAGACGGCGACACGCCTTTATTACGGGCGGTAAGGTCGCGTAACGCCGAAATCGTGCAATTGCTTTTAGACAAAAAAGCCAAGGTCTCGGCTACGGACAAGAAGGGTGATACTGTACTGCACATAGCGATGCGCGCGCGATCAAAAGCGATCGTCGAGATACTACTGAGGAATCCAAAGAATAGCCAGTTATTGTACCGTCCGAATAGACAAGGCGAGACCCCCTACAACATCGACGTCAATCATCCTAAGACGATGCTTGGACAGATATTCGGTGCTCGTAAGTTAATCAGACACATGTCATTATTAGTGTTATACGTTATTACAAGTAACTCAACTTACGATATGTGAAGAACACGCGTTGAATGTCTTGACGAATTTTATAGAATAATTTGATGAACGTTACAGGGCGTTTAAATACTAACGAGGACAACGAAAACATGCTTGGTTACGATTTGTACAGCAGCGCGTTAGCAGATATTCTCAGTGAACCATCGCTTTCTACGCCAATTACAGTCGGTCTTTACGCAAAATGGGGCTCTGGAAAATCGTTTTTACTGAACAAACTGAGAGGTACTACCAAATAACAAAGCTACTCCAATGCTATTTAATAGTTTTATAGAATGTCAACTGTTGGATGAATTTAGAACAAAAAATAGAAAAAATTATAATATTTAAATTTAAATAAAATTACATAGTGTGACAATTTAAATTAAATTTCTATAGCCCAGAAGATGCGCTAGTTTTCTGGAATATCTTTTGGTATATCTGTATACACCTAAGTTACATTAAAAAATACTAACGACGCGACTGTCTTTTACAGAGGAAATGAAGAACTTCGCACGACAATGGATCGATCCAGTATTCCAATTCTCTTCCTTACTCTTTTTAGTAGTAGCTCACGTATCCCTTCTCGTAGGCGTCACGTTGGGCCTCGCCTTGCAGTCGTGGATCATCGGTCTATCGTCCGGAATAAGTTTACTAGTTATCGTTTATATTTTTCTGGTTCTCGTTTGGTATGCCAACAAGAGGTGAGGCTTACGAAAAGTAGCAAGAAGTAAAGTTCTATTCGTTTTATATTCTTATTGGAAATCTGTAATCGTAGGTACGATTGGTATTGGCCATATAACCTGACAGTGGAGCTCACCACCAAGTTGAACACGCTCAAACTGCTATTGCAAGTGATTTTTTGTCATCCGCCTGGCAGTCAATGTCAGGACGGAATAGCGGTGCAGCCGATAAAGTTTTACTTCACCGATCAGACTCGCGTGGGTACGACCGCCGCCGGTGAGAACGTGGTCGTGCAAATGGTCGGTTCGCTGTACGATTCCATCGAGAACGACTACGGTTCCTTGTCTACCAGACTATATAGAGCATTTAGGCCAAAACCAGATAAATCAACTACTACTTGGAAATGGAGGCGTTTGTGTTGCTTGCCCCACGTAATCTTATTCGAATTCTGCTTATGCAGCTTGCTCGTTGGTATCTCGATACTTACGGTGTACCTCATAGATATTTCGAATGAAGAGTGAGTAATTATACGCCGAACACAAAGTACTTCTACGTTACTTATTTTACATGTTGTATCGTTTCGCGTTTAGGTCCACGATAGAGCGAGTTACTGCTCACATTATCATGATATCGATTGCCTTGGTCTTGGCCATCAGTATAATAGCAAATTTATATACATGGAGCAGAACGCTGCATGCATTGGTTTTTTCACAGAGGAGACACCTTCAACGCAGTATATCAAAATTGGAGACTCTGAAGAGCGAAGGGTTCATTCAGACTTTAAAAAGCGAGGTCAATTTAATGACAGAAATGGTAAATTACTTATTTATTAAGATAGTTCTATTAGAACTTTGCTTTCAATGGCGTAGCTTTTAATCACAATTTTAATCACAAACAGGTCAAGTGCTTGGATAGTTTCATGGCTCAACAAAGTAGACTAGTTGTAATAGTGGACGGTTTGGATAGTTGCGAACAGGATAAAGTTTTACTCGTTTTGGACGCTATACAGGCCTTATTTAGCGATAACGGATATCCTTTCGTCGTAATACTAGCGATTGATCCACATATTATATCTAAGGTAAGCAACTTTAAAAAATAAAAATGTAAAAAATTGGGCAAATTATAATATCGATTTCAAAATGTTACTTTGAATGATAACGAAAACTATCGTTCGACATTGTGCATGTAGGCGGTAGAAGTAAATAGCAGAAGACTATTCTCGGAATCAAATATCGGCGGTCATGATTACTTACGGAATATGGTGCATTTGCCGTTCTACTTGCAAAACAGCGGCTTGCGTAAAGTCAAGGTCGCGCAACAAACTGCTCAACATTATAAGAAGACAGTGTGGACGGAAGCTGAGGAGAGCGTTAACTATACTGCGACCAGCACTATGCATCATTCAGTATCCAGTAGGAGACTCAGCACGGAATCGGCTATAATGAACAGCAACGAGAAATTGAAACCCCAACAAAGGAAGGGCAGTAGAAAGATGCGATTGAGTGAATCAATCGCTAGCAGTATCGGCAGTAATTTGAATCGACTGGGGGGAGCGCAGGATCTCAATAAGATGTTGCTCACCGATGATTACTTTAGCGATGTAAATCCTCGTAGTATGAGGAGATTGATGAATGTCGTTTATGTCACTGGTAATGCATTAAGTCGTGCAATATTGCAGTGTATGAGTCTACGTAATCATTCCATGTGTACATTATTTGTCTTTCTATTTTAGGGCGATTACTTAAGGCATTCCAGATTGACTTCAACTGGTATCACTTAGCTAGTTGGATCAACATTACCGAGCAGTGGCCTTTTAGAACGTCTTGGCTCATTCTTCATTACGATATGTACGAGGAGAGTCTGGATGATAATATGTCACTGAAAAGTCTTTATGATAAGTACGTGGATTTTATTTCTTTCTTAAGGTTCTTTTCATACTATTTTTATATTACTATTTTTTATATTTATATTAGGGTGCGACCGCAAATTCCAGTATTGAAGGAAGTGCAACCGCTTCTCGAGATAGATAGAGACGAACGCAAGTTGGATGTTTTCCTCACGTTTCACCGCTCCAGCTTGCTTATTAGCGACATGAAAATATTCTTGCCTTTCACTATCAATCTAGACCCGTACATTAAAAAGAAAATAAAAGAGGAACAACAAAGCATAGAGGAAGACACCAATCTATTTAACAAACAAAGTGCTTGGCACGGCCACAATGTTCCGATTGATCAGTGCCCTCCACAAAGAGGCATGTCGATGAACCGGCACATGATGAAACTTGCCAAGCAATCGAGTTTGCAGGGATCCGTGCCGCCGACGCCGTCGTGGGGTTACCAGCCAAGCTTTGAATGGCAAGTTCCGCCAACTTGGATGCAAATGCCTCCCATGGAACCAGTGTCAAAACCACTTTCCGCAACAACCATGTTACCGGTACATAAATTAATTGTACAATTATCTCTTGCGGGTTGAAAAGATGTGACTTATCGCTTCCTCTTTATTCACAGTCCGAAATTCTGGAAATAAAGCTGTCGTCCTTATCAGTGAACGGAGTCTGCGATCTAATTGACAAAATCGAAAACCTTAATTCGACCCAAGCATCGATATATAAGCAAGCCATAAAAGAGAACAATATTAATGGACGAGTTTTATTACATTGCGATTTGCAAGAATTGAAAAAAGTAATTTTTTAAACACTGCGTCTTTACATTTCAAGGAGAGGAAATTCTAAATACAAATGTATTTGTATTTTTTAGGTATTTAAAATGACTTTTGGAGATTGGGAGTTATTTCGCATGGTAATTGTATCACTACGGGAAATGGAACTCTCGTCATTTACATACGAGGAGGGTCCTCGGAGTGTACGATTTACCGTAGGATCCGAACAAGTTTTACGCAAAGGTACGTTCGATATTTTTTTTTCGCTTGTTTCTTGTTCGGTTTGATCACTCTTATCTGTTATAGATCACGCTTTGCCAAATAATTCGATACGGGTGTCTGCTCATGTGGAGAAAGAGAAAGGAACATCGAGATCTGATGGGTCGACTCGCCGTGATCAAAATAAACAATCTATAATGGAAAAGCAGGTATGATATAGGTACTTTCAAATGCATTAAAAAGTAATCGATGCAATCGTAGAAATTTACGAATTGATATCGTGACTGAAAACTTATAAAAATAAATTTTCATTTATTTACATTCACACTCGGTACCAGTTCCAGGTAAGCCGCTGCTATGATTACTTTAAAAAGTAAAAAATTTCGATATATAATAATTATATTCATCTATGTATAATACCTAACAAATACTATCTGCTGTGAATATGCTGAAGTGTCTATATACGTTTCAGGTAACGTTAGAGGAGCAAATGATTTGCGGAGCATTGCAGACGTTGAACGAGGAAGCTTGCGAAGATGTTTTAGACGTGCCATCGCCAGCGGTGGCACCAACAGACTCGCTTCCTTCAGGTGAGCCTACCCCCCTACCACTTACACTGCCTCTGGTAATAGTGCAAGAGCCACCGCAGCCTGACCAAAACAGTGACACTTCCGCCGAATACAGTGTTAACTTTTAGTCAAATCTGAAATAGGATGACTATACGATGATATGACTATAGGATAATGTATATATTCGTCAAATGAATAAGCTCACGTTGTGCAAAAGCAGACTTTTCCGGCGTAACTTCTATCGAAATGTGCAACGACCAGCCATTGTTATCATTGCATTCAAGAACGGTGCTTGCCAGTTTGTGTTGTTAAAATAAAAAAAAAAAAGATTGATATGCTTCATCCTATTTGATAGTTTTATTTGTACATCTGTATGTCCGTAGAACGCTATTTGACAGTATTGTCGACAAAAGATGTACATATATGCAATGGCAGTCGACAAACTAAGAATAATGGTTATATAAATATATTGTTATTATAAGGCCATTTGTAAGTTACAAAGTGAAAGGCTATCCTCTGTAGGAACATGTATGAGTATTTCTTAAAAAGTATTCAAGTATTAAAGTGCCAATGCGAGAAACCAATCATACATATCGCACGAAGGAAGAATACAAAATGAAAGCCATTTAACGATTGTAATAGGATTATTATTGTATGCGTACTCTTAAGATTATTATAATATAATGCTCATTTTATAAGCTAGTTTAATATCGATGTATATTGATGCCATATTAAGGAAAAAAAGAAAAAAAAAGATTCCAAAAACCCTCAATAGTCGGTAATTTACGAGCATACTCTTTACTGCATTTGTAAATATATGATATAAAAAGATAGACAAAAATTTCAGAGGCACTACTCTCAAAGCTAACTCTCGTTCGGTGTTTCCTGTGGACAATTCATGTACAAAAGACTGTGATAACGCATTGTTGACAAAACGAATATCTCGTGCGGAAAATGTGCTAACCGAGGCGACATGTAACAATGTATTATATTTTTAACACTGTTGTACGTAAAGTAATCGTGCTTGGCGATAAAATTGAAAGTTGCGTCCTGTTACTCCGGTCCATGTTACTTCCTGTACTACGTGTACACTATAAATATTATTGCTAGATTAATAGCACCATGTTATATGAGCAGTATTATGTTATTACGAGAGCAAGTGGCAATAAAACTTTCTTGCAAACCACATCTGACATTACCTTCTTTGCAATTTGTATCTGGAAGCCTTCAGTTATTATTATCAATTGCGATCAAAGCGTTTCAAAGATTGAAAATTGAAATAAGAGAATTTTAAAAAGGAAATGGAACAAATATCTTTTTCATTGATATCTTAGATTCTCATGTAAAATCTTCTTTTTTTTTATACTTTTTAAAGAAATATATTTGTTTCAAGGATTTCGAACCAAGTGGCTTCAAAATATATATTATAGTCAATTAGAACATGATAATCACATGATACGAAGCAGATGTTACATGAGTCTCTGTTTTAGGACACGTCATCTCGGTACACGACACGGAATATGTACTGCTTCAATCCAGTCCGCTGCTTCACTGGGTACCGGTTAACGAGGATCCGGTGAGCTCAGACGACAGCTCGCACGATTCCACCGTGTTCCTTCAACGTACCAACTCCCAACGCAGCATCGCATCTCAATATAGCACGAGATCAGCCTGCTCGTACAAGACCCTGAAGAGAAGCGGTAGCAACATCAGCACGAGACCGTCCTCGCTATTCGTCTCCCCACCGCCGTCGCCGAAGCCTGCGATCAGGTCGAAGTCGACCGACGAGAGGTGTATGGGAAACAATGTATCCCTGAAGATCACGCCGTCGTCGGTATCCACTAAGAGACGCTCCTCCTCAACATTAAATGACGAGATAGTGATACCAGTACCCACTTCCAGCCTGGAGAAGCTATCGAAGCTGAAGGATCGTCTGATTGGCACCACGTCGACCGCGACGGCGCGGTCACCGGGGCCCGGTGGCGAGAGCGACGACGAGTCCACGCCGCTGGTATCCGAATTATCCACGCCAACGCATTCCCAATCGGACAGCGTGTTCAGACACGATTGCAGCGCGGAGAACAGCAGTTCGCCATCGTCCAACAGGAGTCTATCGCGTGACGGAGAGCGTCGCGTAGATCTAGATTACGCTGATACCGTCAGCCTTGTGATATGCGAGTCCTCGAACGCTCAATTGCCGTCTCGACACGGCACCAAGATCTGGGACGACACAGAGACGCCTGTCTGACACCTGTCGTCTTTTGTATATGATCACAACGTGTGATAACTTATAGCGTATTATACGTTTGATTGATACCGATCTCAATTTGATGAAAGTGACTGGCATCTGCTGGGCAAGTACAGATGACATAATTCTGTTTTGACGATAAGCGTCGAGATAAGATATGTCTCTCTCGTGTAAATAACGAATAGCGAGAACATGCAGGTGTTTTTTATAGTTAGATTATTAAACGTGTTCATCTGCTTATAGTGGTTTGACGGAGAACGAATAAATGCCTTCTCGCGCAAGTCACATGCGATAATCCTTAGTTTAGCGAAACAAGACGATCTCGAGATGTACGACGCCGAAGCGACATTCCGTGTAAATATTAATGCATTTACGAATGCAAAACTTTATCGACATTTTCCTTTTTATATTGAATCAGTATCGAAATATGTTGGAACGAGGGAGATGAGGAACATTTCCCGATGTATAGTATGTACCAAAGTATCCTGTCCCCAGTAATCAATTTGAGTCAATTCGTAATGTCAGTGCAAATAGGTAACTTAAAGAGTAACCGATAAACGCTAGAATATTTTAAAGAAATGATAATTCAAACGACCAGTATACAATCGTTGATTAGACTACATCTAATATATATATAATTCTATAAATTATATCTAATATTAATTTATAGAATTTTATCTATAATTTTATCGAACAAAAAATGTAGAATGTCACAAAAATAACTTGTACAAACGGCAATTATTACTTATTTCACTTTATATTTAGCTACAAAAAGTTTTTATAAAGAATTTTATTGAGATATTGCAAGATGGATATTTAGTTGGACGGAATATATTCGTTTTAGTACTTCTTCCTTAATTTTAGTGTATTTTTTTCCTTGTCAAATTACGATATATTAATAAAATGAGAGAAACGCGTAAGCAATGTATTGATACATTTGTTTTATTGAAAGGCAAAAATTGTAACTACATAACATTAAATGTTTAGGACACTTCAGGACGGAATACATCAGGGTATTGATCTTTCATTATAATATTGTAAATATATATATGTATATGATTGTAGATATATTAGCTTTGAAAAAATATATATATATATACGTTCATTTCTTGACATTAAATACAATAAAATATTCAATCAAATACAATACATTGCAATAATGTTAAATACTGTATACAATATATTTAGAATCACGGAAACGCGCAACATAAAGTTAAACCAATTAAAAGGAGGACAAATGTTTCCTCTCTACTTTGTAACGAACGTTTGCATGCTAATTAAATACAGGGATAGTACCGCTTGTAATTAAATGCATTGTTTGTATTAAGTGTTACGTAAAAACGTCATATCACTACAAAGCGGCAGCTGTGTCCTCGTTAGACACGATAGAATGTTACAAATCATACAGATTTAAGCTGGAACATCGTCTAATACATACATATAAAATAATGACATAGCGCGGTGATATATGTATCTATTTTAATGCGTATCAAAATTATGGCATATAGAAAGGAAAATATGAGACAAGGAACAAATTACGAAAAAAAAAATATCTTAGGATAATAATCTATATATACTCTGTTACAAATATATACATAAAAATTCGATTTCACAGTTTTATAGGCGTGGAATAGTAAATACGAATATCCTTATAGCTGCATGTTTCAGGCACAAGTTGTGCTTTACCTAAGACTGGCGATGATTCGCGTATTGATTCTTTATTCGTCTATCGATTATTGTCATCATTATAATACATAAATACATTAAATCTCAGGAGAAAGAGTAGATAAAATCAACGTCATTAATTGACCTGATTAATTAGCGAATCTATAATGCTTCACTGATAAAAGTGTTCTCAAAAGTTTTGATCAAATTTACTTATTAACGATTTATTTATATAATTTATATCATATTATTGTATAATGAGAATGATAATACTTATATTTTTAATCAGTCACAGCGAATACGATTTTTTCGTTTCTAATATTCGCATAATTGCATATTCGTCCATCGCACGTTAAATTCAAAGGCACAATGACTGCTAATATAAAAATGCTACCTTACAAATGCATAGGCTTAACATTTAGACACGAGCAATATACGTTGCCTCACGAAATATGTAGGTCTGTTCGTTTTAGCTGCACTCTGTTACTTCCCGTAATTAAAGCGAAACGAAAGTACATTTGGCCTTTGCAAATAGAAACATAATAAAATTGTAAAAAACAAACGTAAATAGTGCGTTTAACGCGAATAGACCTTGCATACATACTTTATAATACATGTTGGCAGATTATAAGGACACTTGTTTTATCAACACATAAGTTTAAAATAAATGCATCGTACAATTAAGGAATGTTCGCGACATTATAAACAGAAAGCTTATCTCATTATGCAAATTCTCAGTCGGCATAAAACGATCTCTATTAACCGACATAAAGATATCCTAGCAGTGACTTAAGCAATGCCTTCCTAAAATAGTACTCTGCTTTTATACTACTTAAGTATATCTTAGGACCCTTTCATAAAAACTATTTTTTTAACATAGTAGTTTTTTACGTGTCCAATTTTAATTGTCACAATTGTCATAAATTGTCATGACTAACATCACGCACTTTGTAAAGCAAGTAAAAAAAAAACAAAGATGTAGGCAGTCCGAGGAAGACCAAAGTAAATATATATATATATACGTTGGTGCTATTTTCTCGCGCATTGTACATCGACATTATTTCTCCTTTGTAATATTTAATAAATATTTTATAACTGTGTGGTAATTACCGTCTTTCTCGTGATTACTGTATGCTTGGTTGGCGTTTGACCAGGCGCTGGACTTTGTGACGGATCCGCTACCAGCCAGGGACTAATGTCTGACGCCGCTTGACTTTCATCCTGCAAAACAGATCTTTTAGTACTTTTACACTTACACTACTCCGAATTAATTTTTCTCGATTAACAATAATTATTTAAGAAAATTGTCACATTTAATTGAATCGAAAATTAATAATATTAGTCCTTTGTATTGACTGACTAACTTTAACATTTTAATGGTTCAAATGACGAACTCGAAGATTATTTAATACTTTACTATTCACACACACAGAAGCGACTTTCACGTGGGACGAAAAGCAAATTTTCATTACGCTTTCACCAACAGAATCAACTTACTCCTAGAATAAAATCTTACTTTCCCTTTACGATCAACACTGAATGATAAGTCTCTTAGATTTGTTCTAAAAGTAATTTTCTGTTCTTGGTGAAACCAGGGCGTTTATGTAATAGATGAGACGCTGGCCTGCAAGCGTAAAAAATGTAACTGACCTTGTGTGTAAGTGTCGTAGTGGTCGTTTGTATCTCCTCGGTTTTAACGACCCGCGCTCCGGCTTTTTCTGTATCCGCGTCGACTTTTTTCTCTGTTGTAACCGGTTGTAAATCTTTGAAGGGATTGAGTATGCCCAGGAACGGATTCGAGTCTATGAACGGATTAGTGTTCTTTTTCTTGTCGTCTTCCGGTTTTGCTTCCTCCTCGGAAGCTTCGGCCGTGTTAGACGCGTCAGTATCGTTAGTGAACGGATTAAAAGGATTTTGCGACTGGTTCGATACTTTCGGGCTTAATGGCGTGGTCTTTTGTTCGATCTGTCCCCAACTGTCCAATGAAAAGTGCGTTACAGTTACAGCGTCGTCGGTAGAAGGATTTACTGCTGTCGTCGCTCCGCTCACAGAGAGAGTCAGTTTGTCACCGCCCTATATTTGATGAAAAAAGCAAGAAAGCAAACACATTACAGCTGGCAGCTAGCGATATAAAGCAGACGCAATAAATAATGTATATACAAACAACAGAATAATAATCTTGACAAAATTATTGTTCAATAAGCTGCTAAGTCTTCAAAAACCTTATCGTACGATATTCGATAGTATATAATGCAAATACAAAAAGGTATACTAAGTTATACTAAGGTAAAAATACTTGAAATTTTAAGAGATATAAAATATAAAAAGAATACGCGATCAGTGTACACAAAAGACGCACAATTTATAAATGATTCAAGCAGGACAAAAAATTATAAAAATACAAATAAAACTATAGATGAGAGTTTGACGATGCTTACCACGGAAACGATAGTCGCAGCATCCGAATGTTGATTCTTCTTCGCGATCGCTCCAGAACCGTCCGTGGACGTGATGGAGACCAAATTCGAGTTTTTTCCCTGCTCAAGGGTCGCCTTCAGTATGTTACACTTTAGGGATTCCGGTGGAATTGGCGTTCGAGGGGGTAACGACGATGTTCCACCCACTTGATTATTAGGCACTAGCTGCACTTGATTGGCGATAGTTTCAACTGTTAAACTGGTCTTCATAGGTTCTGACTCTTTCTCACTGCTGCTGGTCGTCGCCTGGTTTCTGGCCTCCAGCGGTTGTTGATCTTTGGCGAGAGACTTCAGCAGGGAATCCATCAAAGGTGATGACGTACCCTGAGCGCTTGAGGAGTCTGAAGATTTTGTACTGCATCGACTCGGCTGACGCTGCAAGGGTTCGTCGGCTGAAAATATTTTTGAACCACGTTTTCAGAGCACGACATAATGTCCAATAAAATATGATAAGACAGATAAGAAAAATCAGAAAAATAATTCCTAACAATGATAGTTTAATTTTTCTTGTGTTAAAACTTAATTGAATGTGCCATATTAAAGTATTTTAAAAATATCTGAATAAAAATCTTCTTTTTTAATATTCTCTAAGTATAATTTATTTCAAATATAAACTGAAGCATGACATTTTATTATCTATTCGCATTTTTAAAGCTTGTAAAAATTCTTTTTTTTTTTAAATAAATTAAATAAGGTTTAATATTAAGTATTAGATTTCAAAATGCGGATGTTATATTCATCAAACGCTATCATATATTTCATACACTACAGCTCACCTGGAGGTGGAGATGGTTGCGGCTGCTCCACTTGACGTTGCCTTTCGCGAAGAACGTGACTTTGCCGTCGCGCATACCTCTGACTCGGTCGTCGCTCGAATTGCACGGTGCGGCGCGCCCGATTTAGCTGCGTCGTCTGAAATTCCGTTTTGCCGCTGTAACGGAAACGCGAGCCCATACGGAAAAAGTTCTGACGACCGCTGGCGCCCTTAACCGGTGCGCGCAGACGGAAAAAAGCATGATGTTCCACCGCGCACTTCCAAAGATGCTTGCAAGCTTTCTCGTTGACCAGCCTGAACACAAAGGTATGCTCCTGTTCGCCTCTACCCTCGTCATCCTCCTCCACGACCACCAGGGTCAGCTTCTTCTTCTTGAAGTCCAAACGACCGATCTTCGGCCAGAAGAACAAGCCGATTTTCTGCGTGCCTTCGAAGACCAGAATGCCGGTCGGGGTCAAGCCTAAAGAGTATTCGCAAGCGTCTTTGCCAAGAACAGTGTGCATGTCGACGCCGTACATGTCTAGCCATTTAGCCTTGCTAAGATACGCTGATTCTGCCTGAGCTGGACTAAGACCAGAACACTTGACGTACTCTTCCAGTATCTCCAGCTCCATCTGCTCCGTTTGACCCGGTATGAAGCGGAATTCCGACACGGTCACAGCGCTATGATTAACAGGATCGTAATCTCCTAGTTCAGCTAAAATAAGAATTTCATCCTTCAATTACACCCTACAATTATTTGCTGTACGATGACAACTACGATAAGATATTAGCTTAATTTTAATTAAAAATACTGCTCGAACAAACTCACATTGAAGAGCCAGAGCAGCTAGCTGAACCGCAACTTGATGAGGACAATGAAGCCTGCCTTCCAAAACGTCTTGCTTCAATTGCAAGAAGAACTGATACCGCGTTAGCTCCTCACGCAGCGTGTTCGGTTCCGAAGAATAGAATTTCACTTTCAACCTAAGCGTGTACGGAGGTCCAACTAAAATAAGAAGTTATATAAGTTTTAACATTCAGCTTGCTTTCGAAAGAATTTCAAGAACGAGCGCGGCGACACATACTTTTGACTTGTTTCTTGATAGGTTTCGTTGGATCTAACCAATGTTTAACGTTATTGCTATCCGTGTATTGGAGTCCAAAGTAATCCTTCTCGATCAAGTCGAGACTGTAAAACACCTGTTCGTATAAGTCATTAGCCAATGCTTTTTTCTGCAAAAGAAGGCCAGCAGTTACGAAACCTGAATACAAATGTGTATACACGGTGTAAAAGTTTTAAGCTGCTCTTCTAGTCCGATGATCTTTCTCCTTTATCTTCACGAAGATACGAAGATAAAGGGAAAAGTTTCAGATTAGACAGGTCTCTGACAACAATTGAAAGAGAGAAAAAACTTGCCGACAAGTCGATGGACAGATCCGTGCCGTCCAGCAGTACCACCCTGCACTGCACGAGATTCTTGTTGCTGGGCAGCCTCTGGTTCTTGATCTGCGACGAGGCGTTCTGGCCGCTGACGCCGCGCGCCCTCCGTCGCGACAGGAATCTCAGCATCCTGGGTCCTCGCCGTCAAACCGGGACGCGCGATCGTCGACCATCGACCCGCGGATGAGACGCGATCCGCGATCCGCGATCCGCCCACTCTCCCTCTCTTGGCGATGACGCGACGATACAATGCGATGTGTGACGTGACGCGACGCGACGCGATCACCGCTTGCGAAATTCGTAAAGTCTGAAATCCCGCACGTCTCACATTCTACGCCCGCTCGGGGATCATCACGCAGAGCGGCCGCGCCGCACGGCAATATCGAGGTCCACGCGACCACCCCCGCATCCACGAGCGCGCGTATGTATTGTATACGCCCGTCGCCCGACGGCGGAATTCGGAAAACGCCGAGCCGACGGACGCTCCTTCCCCGATGAGTTCCGGAACGCGCGATAGGCGTCCGAAGTTAACGCGCGAAAGGAACGTCCGTGAGAAATTTGAACGACGTGCGTAATATTGCGTAGCGGCCCGCGGCCGTCCTCGGAGAATCGTCCAGGTTGAAGGAGAACGCATCCCGAATATCCCGATGGCAGAACCGATATATTTTTGTATATAATTATGGCTGTGGTCGACTTGACACTACGAATGCTTCGAAGCATATTCCTCTTCTCTTTTCTTTCAATGAAGAAAGAAGGAGAAGAAGAACGCTCCAAAGCATTTGTAGCGTCAAATCGACCGCAGTCATATATATAAAAAACTATTTCCTGGACAGACACTTTGTACATGAAAATATAATATACAATAATATATATAAAATATATATAAAATACGTTTATTATAATATAAATAAAATGTGTAATTATATATAACATTTTATGCTTTTGTATTCGATTGTAATTTTTAATCATTTTGACGAGATTGAGATATCACATTAAGATTATAATACTCGTATCAATGATTATTAATTTTTTTTATTAAACACTTATTGCAATAATAAAATAAATAAAACAAGTATAAAATTATTTAGCGTATTGTATTAGCAATTGGATGAAACTTTAACTTTGAGAAATAAACATTCATATGAAAAAGTTTACGATTATTTAAATTAACTTCCTGTAATTTAATTTCTTTTAAATGCTTTGTTTCCTTGTATACTTATACCATATCATTTGAATACGTTTGAACGTAACGTTATACCTATATTTAAATAATATTGAAGTACTCCGCAAAACGATTAAATTATGGAAAGATTAAAAATGATCTACAAATCGATGAGTTTGAATCTCAATGGTGATGTTACCGAGTTTACAATCTGGCTCTTGTATTCGAGCGGTCCATAATGCCACTCAATCCGAAAGTTTCGTACGACCTATATAAAAAACACACTTTTATATATCACATTCTTTTGCAATTTAATAAAAATTTGCAAAATAATACAAATGTTAGAATAAATAATAAAATAATAAAAATAATAAAAGTTTACAAACTTTCAAAATAAATATCATGAGCTCCATCTCGGCGACTCTTTGCCCAACACAAGAGCGAACACCATATCCGAAAGGCATGTACACGTAGGGATGCAAAGTTTTGTATGATAAATATTCGAGATTACCCCGCATCCATCTCTCGGGAATATATTTCTCTGGTTCCGGAAAATATATGGAATCCATCGAAAGCAGCGCGTGACAAGCCATAACGTTTGACTGATGACATGTAAGAAGGAGTGATTGAGAATGACATGAACAGATGGTTGAGGGTCACAAAGTTTTATTTGTCATTTAATTTAAAGTAAACTTTAATAGAAATTTAATTTTTAATACTTGATGTTAAAAATGATAAAATACTGATGGTATGCAGATGGCATTTAATCACACATTTGGCAAAAAATAATTTAAAATTCGTTAAAGAATTCATAATTTATTGATTGTGACTCACAGAATTTTATTTGTTATATTACCTAAAATGACTGTTAGATTTTTTAATTACATATTTTTTAATGCATTTTTAATTTTTTAAATATTTCGACAAGAAATATTTTGATATCAGTGTTAATAAAATATATTGATATTAAATTTTGATAAATCTTAAGGTCTGTAATATATAGAAAAATAATAGAAAAATATACATACTCCTTCTGGTATCGTGTATCCTCCTATGGATACTTGCCTCTGCATAGTTCTTAAAACGCCACTGACGATGGGAAACAGTCGCATAGATTCTTTAATACAGGCTTTAACATATGATACATTCTTCAGGATGTCTTCTGTAATATGCGTGGTTTTGTCAGGTAATACAGAAATTGCTTCCTCTCGCAATTTTTCCTGTTTCTCCGCATTATTTGCCATATAATATAGCAAAGCGCCAGCTGCATTGCTAGTCTATATATATATATATATAATAAAAAATGTTATTTATTTTTAATTCTAGTAATTCTGTGCTATAAGATTTCTTAATTTTATATAGCCTATTACGAATATATATATAAGTAACAATACTTCATCTATACATTGTTCAGAACTGTCAAAAAACTTAAAATATTGTAACCATTTATTAGTACTATTTTATTATTATTTGCTTTGGAAGAATTTTCAATTTTGTTTATAAAAGATATGATTATATCCACATATTTACCGTATCAGTGCTCATTAATATATCCAAAGCCATTACGTGAGCTGTTTGTTTATCAATACTCAAAAGTTTTTCTAGTATACTGCGATCTTTTAGATTCGTATTATCTGCGGTCTCCAAAAATTTCGTTTTAGCGAATTCGACATGTTTTTCCGATATTCTAAATAATTATAAATTTATATTATAAATAATTTATAAATTATGCCGATTATGGTAACAAGTAAATTGCCTTTTAAATGATTTATTTTCGACATATAAGATAAGTTATATACAAGCAAAGTACAAAAATAAAAATAACAAAAATAAAAAATATATTAATTTTTATTTAAAAAAAGGCGTATGAAGAGTGATTAAAAGCAACAAGTTCGCGAGAATTTTGCGAATAATATGCTCTCTCTGGCATTTAGTATAACGATTATAAATTTCAATACTTACGCATTAATTGTATCCAAAGCATGGAATAGCTTCTTGAGGTTCCGCGTATTGTACACTTTCCATAGAGATGGCAGATTTTCCAAACGATATATCAGATCGAACGCTTCCTGTACGCAATTAATCATTTGTTGCGGTTCCGAGTCCACAGCAAGATTGGGCTTCAAGCATCCCATTCGGCAATTTAACGCAATTGAACACATCGCTGTTAATTATTATATAATCAATATAAAAATAAAATAATATAAAAGAATTTTTTTCTAAAGTTCTGTTTCGTCAATTCAACGCATTGTTACAAACAGAGCTTATATATTTGCATCAATTTTGGTCGCGTTCAGCAGACCAAGCCGCTGAGTCTCAATCGAATGTGATTGGCTCTTACTTTTAGAACCAACCAATCAGCGCAGAGTGTTGATAAGACGAACTCAACAGTTGTGTCTGCTGTTTCGGTGCGTTATTTTTGAAGGGAATTATGACAAATATTGACGATACATAAAAGTCTTGCGATTCACTTGCATATGCGCGTACTTACTTTCTAAACTCCATTTATATAATTCATTCATAAAGTCACTTGGCAATTCCAAAATTTTAGGATCTCGCAATGCTGGCAGTTTCTCTACGAAGTCGCTGGTTATCTCGTTGATCTGTCCAGCATACGTTTTGACTATGTCCGGTCGCATCATGGGCAAAGTGACTTTTGATCGAAAGTCCTGCCACGATTCTCCCTGACTAAATGCAGAAAAAAATCATTTTTACCGAGAAAGAAAATAATACGTCATATATAATTTACAAGCTGATATTATATAGAGATATCCAGCAGAAAAAAGAAATAGTGAGGGGAAAAAAAGAATTAAAAATTGAAAGATTATTGTTTGGCATCAATGCGTTATGGATAAAGTTTCGTTATATTCTTTCTAATGGTCGTTATCTGACCTTGTTACGAGGCCGTACTGTCCGTTGTAGATGTGTTCTCTGCTCTGGCGATAGTAATGCAAGGGCTCCAGGGAGTTTCGCGTTGGCCATTTGCCTTGCAACTTATACATCTCCTTACACAACTCTGGAGAGAATAGAAAGATACGCGGTTGTTCCTGTGTTGGGTCGTCTAATTTAACAATATTGCCATATTTATCACGCAGCATCCGCATCAGTGTCAGAACATTCACATTATAGTATTCACCTGCATCGTTTATGCCAATAATTGATTTTAGATAAATTAATAAGAATTAATAGACCAGTTATAAAATATATATTGATAAATATAATGTGTAAATATATTTTATCTTTATTTTTATTTCAATGTGTCAGGACCAAAAAAGTTTGCATATATTAAACAACAACACACAAAAACTCTAAACATGTAAAGTGACTCGAATATCTGTTTATCATCTATTATGATTCTGACATTATTTGTAGACCTTCTATATGCGCGATTGAATATATGGACGAAATAATTGTTACCTATAAAAGGCATAAATCTAAAGCTATTGCCAAGTAAAGGTAGTGCTTTTGGACCAGGAATATCCTTGGTCGGCCGTACGTATTGCGATGTATTGTCAGTTTTAACTGTTTTATATCCCATCGGATTCATTTTCATAGATTTTGCGCGACATAGCATTTTCGATGGCAAACGCACATCGTTGATTCCGTGAATAAAAAATCTGGCATTCCGTGGCATACTTATCGGATTTCTTTAGACTTTCTATATTGATATATATATACATAGTGATACATTGCCATAAAAGTTATAATTAATTATAATTAACATGTATTTAAACTTAACAATTATTTAATGGAATATCGTAGAAGAGAAATACGTACCGTATTAAAATGTAAAATTGTCAGTTTGCTCGTACCGTGGTTTTCGGAAATCACTATCAGAATTAAAAGAAAGTTTTTGCACTCGAGTAATATTGCGTAAGAAGTTAACAGGAATTGAATAATTTTAGTGTCGTCATATATCTTTCAATCTTTTTTCTTTTACAGATTCGATGTTCTTCGATCGACAGATGTTCCTCTTTCTTGCTCCATACTAAACGAAAGCTAACTTCTTTCTGACGATTTGTTTTTGACCTTAATGATCTTAATGTCCGTTGTTCTTAACAATCTTGTTGTGTTCATCGCAATAAATTAGTAAACATTTGATGGGTCACACAGATAAAACCAGTAACTTACTTTCCTTTGTCTCAATGTTCTTGACAACATAAAATTTTATTCTTTAGAATTTAAGGGAAAAATTTATTTTTATATTTTCTATCACGTTTTCTTTATTATAATAATTTTATTTATATTCTGTCTTGTGTGTGCATTTTCTAATCTTTCTCGTAAAATTATACACTTAAAGAATCAACGAGCATACTAATTTATTAATACAAAACTTAAATATTGCCTTTATACATTGATCTAAAAGATTAAAAGTAAAAATGAAAAAAATTATCAATTTTTTTTACGATTGAATTTTGTCTGATAGCAATATCTAGTAATTGTCTAAATTATTTCGTTCTTGTTTTCAAATAAGTACATACATATATTGTTAATCTTATTTCATTCATCTATGTATATATGTGTGTATGTGGGTCATATATTATAGATACATATTGCAATAAAGAAATTTATTAAAATAAAAATTAAGTTATACATCACAGTATAAAATAACATATTTATTATACTCTTAAACACCTACTTAATACAATAATACTAACTTGTTGTATTATTATCTAATAGTTCTTGTGCTCGAAAGCAGTCGCTTACAATTTTCCATTTATCACCCATAGCCGTAATTAAGAAAGTTTGATTAAACGGTTTTGAATTCTTGTCGTCGTATTTCACTTGGCCACCGACTTTGACGAGAAACGTTAATTGGTTGGCTACCTCTGGACCTATTATTAACATATTACAGAAAGATAAAATTAGACAGAAGATAAAGAATAAATAGACAGAAGACAGAAGATAAATTTAAATAGCAATCTTTTGGTATTGCGTGCTATTAAAATAAATGTTATATATGAAATACAAATATGAATATCATTACATACAAGTATTAAAGTGAGAATTTATTTGAAAATATTATCAAAATTTAAGTTATACAAATTAAAATACAATGTAATATGTATAAATTTTTACAGTAAAAAAAAAGTAAAGTTAACATAATTTATTTAAGAATAATGTAATTATTAGCATTTACCTGTAATTGGCTGAGCATCAAGAGTATGGACACTATGTTCTGAAGATGGTAGATCCGTCCAGAATTTTTGTATATTGTCTTTGCCTGTTACCCCATTTCCGTTCCATATCAGAGTAGCGCTATCCATGTACATTCTTGAAATCAGCTAAGACAGATTACATATAAAATTAAAATATATAATCAAGAAAGAATACGTTTGACAGTATTATTGTTACTTACATATCTCCGCTTGTCTAAAGATTCGTAGTACAGTTTTGTGAATTCTTCTGCAGTACGACAAGCTTGGTCAATTTTAGCTTTCAAGTCCTATAAAACGAGCGTAGATGTAAAAATCAGGGGCAAATATAATTAAGTATTTTAAATATATATTTTATGAACATATTAGTTGCTTTCCATTTACATCGAAACTCAGATAATTCTCACTTGTAACTCAGTTAAATGCACGTTTCTTTTTGCATGCTGGCAAGTGAGATTCAACTGAGTTTTTATCCACAATCGAAACCATGTGCTTTAGGCTGCGGTCCACTTGACACTACAAATGCTTTGAAGCATTTCTTTTCTCCTTTCTTTCAATGAAGAAAGAAGAAGAAGAAGAACACTTCGAAGAATTTGTAGCGTCAAATAGACCGCAGCCTAAAAGTGAGGTTATGGACCTGTATTATTATGCGATAGCTTTATCACCAAAATAAATACAAATCTTACCTGAGTATAAAATATTCACATAACTGACTGACTCAGATCACTTGAGTGTAAATGAAAAGCAACTGTAGATGTTTATCATAATTTATATATGTATCACAATACCTGTTCCATCTCGATTATCATGTATGTCCGACACAAAAAATTTTTATACGTCAAAATCTAATGGTCCTTGCGTCAGACGAACAAAATACACAGAATGCAGCAATGCAATGTTTGCAATAACAAGAATGTTTCAATTAAACCATCAGTATTCTCAATACCGAAAAATCATTCCGTTTTTAGCGCGAAATACATGGAGTAAGCACGAGAACGACCACATTTGTGTTTATTGTCTCACTCCCACTAACGTCTTGTCGATAAATGGCGGACCAATATAGCTTTGTCTCACTCCCATTAAAGAACCGGAAGCGCTGATCGGGAAATGGCGGAGCCAATTAGCGAAAGGAACACCATTGGGCGCGTTCAGCGGACCAAGCCGTTCAGTACCAGTCGAACGTGATTGGCTCTTACTTTTGGAACCAACCAATCAACGCAGAGTGTTGATAAGACGAACTCAGCACTCTCAGCAGTTGTGTCTGCTGAACGCGGCCATTGGCTAACCTCTTCCTTGACCAATTCTATGTTTATCTGTCCACTAGCGCCTCTATATACACAAAACGTATATGTTGAACTACGTAGCTATGTCCACAATTGTTTCCAACGGGTAAAACGCTATGTTTACGATTGTCTCGAAATAATGTGACTTTTATCGGCCATGAGCCGGAAAAAATTTTACACTGTTTTGTAAGATGTGCGAAACACGAACGCGACGTTAAAATATCATTTATTAAATCTTTAACCAACTCCGCGTTTAAACGCACGTAATTTACATTTTCGAACTAAACTTATACATAGAATTAAAAAATATATTTGGACTTAAAAAAAATATTACGCCAAAAGTGCTCAATGTATATATTACGAATATTTCCATAAATTCGCAATAAAATATTGAACGATTTTAGAAAAAAAAAAAAAAACAACATTGCAACATGATAACGTTTAAGTATATGAGATTCAGATAAATTATATAAAACGGAAACAATAATTGAATTGTAGAAAGATGAGATAATTATAACAATGAGAGAGAGAGAGAGACTATGCATTTATATAAAAATTAAATTAAAAGTTACACCCGAATCTTTTTAGTTGAGTTTTATTCGTAGTTGTTTTTTGTCCCAGATAATAATGTATCCCGTCATCCATAAATAAGATGGATCACGAGATAAACTCGGCTCGAAATAATTCTATCGCGAATTTATTTAACGGTATTTTTAGTCGAAATACAAATAGATCTGACATGTATTGACAAATTACTCAAGCGAATTAATCGCAGGCATATAAAAAGGGATTTCCATATCCAGTTTTTGATTTATTTTCACCATACAATCTGTTTGTTATTATTACAATGTGTGTTATAATATTTCGTATCGGTCCCGATTGCACGTATAAACTGCTCAAAGTAAATAACTCATTTGCGTCGTTTAAGGTTTAATAGTTAATCGAGGATAATCGTTGGGATAAACTCAAAATGTTTGATATATTCGGGTACAAATATTCGCGCGACAGATCATATGAAACATACATATGTATACAGTAAAGGGTGATTCTTAATTACATACATCAAATAAATATGCATATTTTAAAATTAACAAAAGTTTTTTTCCTAAACATCGAGTTGTAACACAGCATTTCTTATAATATTAATTTTTTTTCCTGGCAACAGTTGCTTTAGATGAGCAAAAAAATGTAGCTGACTAGAATCTGTCCGCACTAAATAAATTTTAAATCTAAGAGGTGTTACCATATACCATAATTTCATACTAATGAAGCAATTTTCATCACATTAATGTTTTATTTTTTTTTTAATACTGTGTTGTATTTTTGTTTTTGTTGTATGTAATTAAGTATCACCCTGCATATCCAATAAGGATGTCACGAATGTCAAGAAAGGATTTGTTTATCTAGTATACTCTGGAGAAATTCCCTTAGAAGCGAGACACTTCCAATTATAGGAATAATTTAAAATTTCGAGCTATCGACGAGTAATGACGGTATTAATAAGCACGCTCTTCGAATCACTTTAGAAATATTGTAGAAAATCAGAGGCTTCCAAGAAAATTTTAGAAGAAACTCAACAGCCTTAACAATTATAAAAATATTGGCAATTTTTATACATTTTTCTTAAACGTTTTCTTAAACAAAAACAAGCAACAAAATTCAAATTCTGAATACAAATTTAAATTAATCTTGATGAATATTAACTATAATCTTCACTAATCCTAATATAAATTTTAAATAATTAATATACAATTACAATATCGTATAAATACATTTCATACAGTACTATACAGTACAATTTCTATTGTTTCGCGAGAAGTTTAATCAATTTGACTTTCAATGTTTTCAAGACTTATGGCCAGTCTACAATGAGTCGTTGGTCGTTAGTCAGATGTCGGGAGAGAGTCGGAAAAAGTCAAAACGTATCGTAAGGCGATCGGAAGTCTGTAATCAGCGATCGTAAGCGATTGGCCAGATGCCATCTCTTACGTCACCGATTACAGACTTCCGATTGCCTTACGATACGTTTATGAATATTTTTTCCGACATCTGACTAACGACTAACGACTCATTGTAGACTGGTCATTACATTTGTCGAAATTATAATTTTTTTTTGTTTATAAAGAAAGAAGATGGCTTTCTTTAAAGAGATTCTTGGAAGATCCGACATTTCTGAAATGATGTCTGAAGCGATTCGAAACATTATAGCGACAGAATCGCTCGCGAAGGTGGAATCTAAAAGACGAAACTTGGCATATTCGCTCTCAGGGAATACCTCGCGCGACAACACAACGGTCGGCCGCTGTTCCCGATACGTAAGTGCAGGTTCCCCAGTTTTCGACAAGATCCCCGTCGAGATCTGGAATTTTAAAGAAACGAGGAAACAATATATTACACAGTCGCGCAGATCTGTCGTGCGCACCACGTTATTCATTCATTCGTTCGCTCGTTTACACGCATATGATCAGCTTCCTTCTCGTGTGTTATCTCCGGTCGCTGCTACGACCGCCATTCCTGTAGCCGCCGCGTCCGCGCGAGTTGCTCTTAGTCGTCGGCGCCGATTTCGTCGTCGAGTCCGACGAGGAGTAACGTGCCGATCCTCCGGATACACCTGAACCGCTGCCACTGCCGCTGCCGCCGCCGCTACCACCGCTTCCACCGCCGCTGGGGGTGGTATTGCTGCCGTTGCCGCCGCTGCCACCACCGCTGCCGTTTCCGCTCTTCGCGGTCGTCGAACTCGCCGCAGATCCGCTACCGGGAGCCGTTGTGTTGCTCTGACTCGCCTACGACAGATTACATGTGTCCTTTTCAATCGGAATAGGCTAGATACTCGACGTTATCGAGCATGGCAAGACGTTCTCGAACACAAGAGATTCACTATCTCCAACGTCCCTTAACTTCTAACTGACCGTCAACTTTCAAAATAGCCAACTTCTATTAGCTATTCTGAAAAGTTAACGGTCGGTCGGAAGTCAACAGACGCGCGTTGGAAATAGTGGCCCTTGATTAAGCTACGTTAAAAGTTACCTTCGTGGTCCAATGTCGAGTCGAATTGGATACGATGCATTATAACAACCTACCGCACAATTTTTCAAGCATTTGTATCTATACGCGATTACGATCGACAAACATACCTTTGAGATCTCCAAGTAAAGATTCCCGAGTTCCTCCAGGGGATAAAAATTCTTTGCTCCATGTTAGACCAAATAAAATTAAGAGGATTTGATATGCTTGATCTACGCTCATTTACGAGGAATAGTTTTTAGATCGGGTTAAAGAAAAAAGGGTATAAAGGTAATAAAGGGTTAAAGAAAAAAAAAAGCAGGAACATAATCAATATTTTTAACGCTTTTTTTAATGTGTTTTCAGACTTCGCACTTATTGAAGTCTATAGCAGGTACCTAAGCGGCTTTTAACATAAAACGTAATATAAAAATTTTGTAATAAACGTAAAATATAAATTTTGTAATAAAAGAAACGTTAAAATGTTAATTTCCAGATAACTTTTTGCCAATTAAAAGACACAACGACGAAAACACCATGCGAGACTGCATAATTCTCAATTCAACATTCGGAAGGGATCGCCACGCGCTCTGTATCCCCGTCGCGCTTGCAAGTGTCTCGAATGTAATTCGACAAGAACGTCAAGTAAAGTAGAAGGTAAGATAATTTATAAAATTTTCCGACGCTTAGCACCGCGCCTAGACCCGCGCCTAGTTCGGCGCTTATTGCTACTATCGCTAGTGCCGTGCCGCCTCGCCGGTGGAATCGTCGTGGGTGACGCTGTCGGTGATCTATGTACCAGAGGCTGCCGTCCCGGTTGACCGGAGATACTGTTGGCGTTGCCGTTGTTGGTGATGCTGTTGTTGACGTTGACGTTGCTGCTAGGCGGGCCCGAGCCGCTCTGGTTGACCAGCTGCTGCGACAACATCGGGTTCGGGTCGCTCATGTTCACCTGCTCGTTGATCACCATGCAGAACTCGCCGATCTTCTGGATGTCGCCGTTCTTGCCCGAGTAGAGGGTCAGGCATTGCCGCCAGACGGACGCGTAGCCCTTGGTGAGCCGCACGATGTCGCCCGGCATCAGGAGCTGACCGGGCTCGTCCCAGATGGAGACGTTCATGCAGGCGGTGCTGTCGGCCACTTTGAACGTTCGAACTTCGCGGTTCTCTTTGGTGATGGTAGGGTGGCCAACGGGGTCCAAAACGATAAACACTACGTTAATGTTCTTCTGGCCCGCGCGGATGTCCTTTATCTGCACGTAATCCATCGTGGCCCTCCACGGATCGAGCACGGCCACGCACACATGCACACACGCGTCCGCACACACACATATATACGCGCGTGCTCGCGCGCGCGCTGACGGGGCGGATCGAGAGAGTATCGTAATCAGTAACGGAGGAATAACGTTCTCACGGGAGGTGTATACCGCGCCGGGCGACGTGCGTTCCTCAAATGACACGATCGACGACGAGCACCGTGCCCGTGCCACCGTGCGTCAAAACGCGCCCTCCCCCGGCTCCCCCTTCTCCATCCTCCCACGAACGAAATCGAGCCGATCGAGTCCCCTCGGAGAAGTCCAAGTCGTCGGAGAGTCTCTCTTTCCTCTCTCTCTCTCTCTCTCTCTCGTCTTTTTTTTGTTGCGTCGTTAGCCGTGGTTATCTGCGCTGCCCGTGCCTCGCTTCCTCGGAAATTATTGTATTGTCAGCTTGGAGCTACACAGCTCGACGGAAGCATCTCGGAGAAATGAAAGAGCCGGACGAGAGCCGTGAGCCATGACCAATGCCAAAAATGACACGCGGTCCCGTCGAAACGAGATGGAAGGGACACTCACACAAGAGACAACCCTGACAACCCATTCAGCGCGACGCTGAGCTCACGCGGACGTGGTTTCTCTTTTTTGTGTGAGTGTCCCCTCACTCCCCTCCATCACCGTTTCAACGGGATCGCGTGTCATTTTTGGCATTGGGCGCGTTCAGCAGACCAAGCTGCTGAGTAGCAGTCGAACGTGATTGGCTCTTACGTTTAGAACCAACCAATCAACGCAGAGTGTTGATAAGACGAACTCAACAGTTGTGTCTGCTGAACGTGGCCATTAGTGGCGCCGTCGTCGGTGACCGATACGGGCTGTGCGTCGGCCATGTTGCCTCCGCTCGTGGCACCATCGCGCGACGAAACCGCGAACCGCGCGACTAACCAAACGACGTGACGACGCCGCGTATAGTTCGTGACCGTTTTTTTTTGGCGTGACGGAACGTCATACCCGATACCCGTTCGACAGTGGGAATAAATGCGAACGGATCCGTGAGCTCGTTGTGCGACAGGTACTCGTCGCCTAGCCAGGATTTCTACGATTACATCGCGGAGAGATATTTATCGAAATTACTTGGCGGCTTTAACGCCGTTCCGGAACTCGCGTCCTAACCTTTGATCTTCGAGCGTTAATTACGCGAATAAGCACCACTCGCGAGAGACGCTCTGTTGCTGTATCAATTTGACGTATCAATCGATTGAGTATTTTAGTAGTTTTAGATGTGAAACGCAAATCAGACTTTGTACGTACAATGTGTCGCATTGTTTTCTATAGCAACTCGATGTTGCGTCTTATCGCGTAACAGAGGTTACCCGTTTATCGGTTTATTTTTATTAAAAAGGACTGCGATAACGGGAGGACGAGATATTAATTAGCATTGATCTTGTGTTGTAAGCCAACACAATGAGCTATCATCGAGGAGGTGGTAACAAGCCGAAAGGCTTCGGCTTCACCGGCTTCCAAATGTCTGGGACGAAGAGAGGCGGCACCAATGTACCTCCGCCTCCGCCGAACTCTACCCTGAGCAAGCAGGGCTATCACACGATGAATGCCATTACGGAAAACGCCTTGTCCGCTTGTTGGGGTATGCCCAAAAAGCGCAGCAAGACGGAAGAAGAGTTAGTATAACTTCACGTGCAAACGATAGCGTAAAAAAAAAACAGACGTATTAAAGTTTACAATCCCTGTTTAAACCCAGATACTTCGAGGATGATGACGAGCCTCCAACTTCGTCGTTGGAATATATACCCGCGCCTGGTTCTCCCACGTACGACTTGATGAAGAAATCAACGACGAAGGATGAGAGCGACAGCGAGGAGGACCCCCTGGATGCTTTCATGGCGGGTATCGACGCGGAAGTCAAACGGAGCAGTTGCGTGACTCAGGGCGGTGATAATCGTAAGGAAGACAAACCCAAAGGATTTCGAGCGGATATTGATGGGGAAGACGACGAGGAAAGTTACTATAGGTACAAGTTTATCGGATATTACACCAATCACATATTTGACGCAAAATATGTGGTAAAATATACAATCTGTCTTTGTTTCATTCCTAAGGTATATGGAAGAGAATCCAACTGCCGGTTTACAACAAGAAGAGTCTGATCAGGAGATCGATTACGATGAAGATGGCAATCCCATCGCGCCACCAAAGAAGAAGGATATCGATCCACTACCTCCACTCGATCACAGCGAAATAGAATATGAACCGTTCGAGAAAAACTTTTATAATGTACATGAAGAGATCACAAGTTTAGGTAAACAGCAGATCGATGACTTGAGAAAGACTCTGGGTATAAAGGTATCTGGACCGTCTCCGCCGAATCCGGTCACAAGTTTCGGCCATTTCGGTTTTGACGAAGCGCTGATTAAAACTATCCGTAAAAACGAGTACACGCAGCCTACGCCTATTCAGGCGCAGGCGGTTCCTGCCGCTTTAAGTGGACGGGATATAATAGGCATAGCAAAAACCGGTAGCGGTAAAACAGCGGCATTTATCTGGCCGATGTTAGTGCACATCATGGATCAGCGCGAATTGAAAGTTGGAGATGGCCCGATTGGTCTCATTTTGGCGCCAACGAGAGAACTGTCTCAACAGGTATCAAAAATCTCGTTCTCTCTGCTACAAAGAAATGTTCAAAGATTAGCGTCTACCGTAAATGTTGTTTGCAGATTTATCAAGAAGCAAAGAAGTTTGGAAAGGTTTATAATATCCAAGTATGCTGCTGCTATGGAGGTGGCAGCAAATGGGAACAGAGCAAAGCGCTGGAAAGCGGAGCAGAGATTGTAGTCGCTACCCCGGGTAGAATGATCGATTTGGTTAAGATGAAAGCAACGAACTTATCTAGAGTTACATTTCTAGTTCTGGATGAAGCTGACAGAATGTTCGACATGGGATTTGGTGAGCAAACACACACCGTATAATATACACTGAAAGAATATCAATAGTATATATATATATTAAATATTTCTCTTTTTTTTTATAGAACCACAAGTACGATCTATATGTAATCACGTGAGACCTGACAGACAAACGTTGTTGTTTAGTGCGACGTTCAAAAAAAAAGTAGAGAAGCTCGCTAGGGATGTTTTAACAGATCCTATTAGGATAGTGCAAGGAGATGTCGGTGAAGCTAATACCGATGTGACGCAACATGTTATCATGTTTCATAACAATCCTAGTGGTAAATGGAACTGGCTGTTACAGAACTTGGTTGAATTTCTAAGCGCTGGCAGTCTTTTGATCTTTGTCACTAAGAAGGTGCGAAAACTAGCATCCCATAACTGTTAGTACAATGTCAAAGGGATGTGTAAACTAAGTTTATATGTTTTTCCCTTACATCAGCTCAACGCGGAAGAACTTGCTAATAATCTCAAACTGAAAGAGTTTGATGTATTACTTTTGCACGGTGATATGGATCAGGTTGAGAGAAATAAAGTGATTACGGCTTTTAAGAAGAAGGATGTCAGTACCTTGGTCGCTACTGACGTAGCCGGTAATTAAAACTATGCTTAAAAATATATATATATACGTATATGTATGTATGTATGCGAAATTCTTATCTTGTGACGTTTCAGCGCGAGGCTTGGACATTCCACATATCAAGACTGTTGTGAATTACGACGTAGCGCGAGATATCGATACGCATACACACAGAATAGGAAGAACAGGACGAGCCGGTGAAAAGGGTACGGCATATACCCTTGTGACAGAAAAAGATAAGGAGTTTGCTGGACATTTAGTGAGAAATTTGGAGGGAGCAAATCAGGAAGTGCCAAAGAGCTTGATGGATTTGGCTATGCAAAGCGCTTGGTTCAGAAAATCGAGGTTCAAAGGTGGAAAAGGAAAGAGTTTAAATATCGGTGGAGCAGGACTTGGTTTCAGAGGCAGACCCAATTCGTCGAATTCGGTATACATCGTAATGATAATTTATATAGCTGATTATGTATCTTCTAGAACAACTGTGTGGAATGATGGTTGTATATTTTAGGGTGGCTCAACGTCACAAGCATCCAAGGATATCAACGAAGTCGTTAAAAAGTTAGAAAGACACGGACCTGGTAGTGACAGACTTTCCGCTATGAAAGCCGCTTTCCGAAGTCAATATAATTCCCAGGTAAGGCGCGGATTTATATTTCTATAAAATGTACATCAAGAAACAAAATTCAGAAGTACGAATATCTCTAACATAATCTTGATACGCTTTAGTTCCGAGCGTCATCGGATCACACCTGGGAACAGACGATCACTCCACCTTCCGTGATAATGCCGCCACCACCAACCGTTCCTCCACCAACCGTTCCACCACCAACCGTTCCACCACCAAAGCCTGAGCCTGAAGAGAGTCAAGCTTCCAATTCCTCGGTACCGGAACGCAAAAGAGTGCGAAAAAGTCGATGGGAGTGATCAAGTTAGTGTACTATTATTTGTGCATATTATATAGCAACTACATATATTATATTGTATTGAAACAATAATGAACTGAGACTTGTTTTTTATTACAATAAAATTTAATTTTACCAATTCGTATGAAAGAGCTATCGCTATCCCTTTAGTCAAACTCATGTCTGATACCTAATCATCAATCCGATCCCGGCTTATAGCTCCATCAACGACATATTAATCTTATTTTCCTGCAATTCCGCGGAGGTCAAACTGCGTACAGTTCCTGCATCGATCTGTAATCGCATCTTTGAAAGCGCGCGCACGCAATTTGCTTAAAGTGAATCACTCTATAATTATCCCATAAGGAGCTGTGGCCGTGATCGTGTATCTGCAGCGATCCTTTTAATTTCACGATCATATACCTAATTATGTTTTACAAAAGTGATCGTGGTTATCTTTTTAGTAATTACGCCGGTTGAAAAACGGTGTTTATTTGTATTTATTTTTTAGTCTCAGTTTATTAATCGGTTACTCACATATGAAAAATACAATACGTATAGCATTTATTAAAAAAAAAAAAGAGAAAAGTAATCTAATCTCTATATGTACAATTTTTTAAAAATATTAAATTTTCCAAAGAACATTAGATTTTGCGCAAGAAAATTTAAGAATAGTTTATAAATATTTTTTAAAAACGTAGAACATAACTGAGACGATATATTATATGCCAGAAACTCGAACTACATTCTACTTTATCCACTATGCGCCCTTGTTTCCTACAAATATATTCACCACCCTCATTGACACCACCTTGGCAGTGTGCGCGCGCGTGAACAAGGATGAATATTCCCTTAATACAATAATTAAGCCAAAGGGATAACGCTAGAGCCAAGAGCCATCGATCATGTGCACGACACAATCGAGTGGGACGTTAATGACGGTCGGTAGAATCGCTGACACGTGTCTTCATGTCATTAAGCCATGTCGATACGCTACGATCGGTGATGTCGGCGCGTGGCACTGCAACGGAGTTTCTAATGCCCGTGAATCGTTCAAGGTTCGCATTCACGGTCATTCGCTAAGATCGCGAAAGCATTATCTCTCTCTTTTGTCTTGTTAGGATGTGGTGAAAAAAAAAAGTATTTTTTCGATCTTTTCCTCACTTCGATTCCGCGTTACTGCAATCCGCGTCGCGTCGACTCCAGTTTAGAATTCGCTATTCCTTCAGGAACATTAAGTGGATATATTTATGACCTCGGGTCTCTCATCCAAATATATTGCAACTTTTATGTACTTTTTAGATTGCAATCGTCTAAAAATTAAGATTCTTAAGGACTTATATATTGCGGCATCGCAGGGCTGCTCTTTCTTCTAGTCTTTTCCGTTTGTTGAGTGAGAATCGTCGAACCCAGCGATTTCTTCGCGGCGTCTATATTTTTGCTGCTAAATTTTTCCATGGCCCTGGTGTAGGAACCGGTACAGATCCGTCCCCAGACTTTCCGGTCCTCCGCGCACTGCCTATTTCTTCCCTCGCTACACGTTCGCTGGACGTCGCTCTTCTTCGCGACCCTGCAAACGTCCTCCTTTTCCAGAGACGTGCTAGAGCCCGTGACGACCTGCACATCCTCCCACGATACGTTCACGTCAGATTGCACGCTGGACGGCGTGGGGCAGCTACTGTCGCTAGACAAGGAAGAGGATCGAATGAAAGACGGCGGTACCGTCAGCTTCATTCGATCCTCCGACTGGCTATCGTTCGAGGGTGGTTCACTTTTTGCGCGAGAATTCATTTTGCAACCGCCGAGACTACTATCTTGGTTGTCATGAACAAGATTGTCGTTCAAAATAATTTTCGCGATCGATGTTCTTTTCCTCAGATTTTCTAGATTTTCTTTGGAGGTACTTTGGGAATTGTCCACCCGCTGTAAAATATCTTTGAGATTTACGTTCGCGGAATCGGCGCCAAAACTCGGTTTGATTTGATCGATCTTAGATATTCTAGGTCCAGGTTTTCCATTAGTCGCAGTCGCAACAGTCTTTTTAGAGGCTTCGCGATTGTCTTTGGCCGTGACAGTTATGTCCGGATATATATAATTAGGTAATCTCTCCTTTTGACGTATCGAAACGGTAACCTTCGGCTGTAATTCTAACTGCTTTGGATATTTTTTTTTATTTTTGTCTTCGAGCGTTTCCATTTTGCCAGACATAGCACCTTTCACACATTGTTTGTATTTTTCATCTATCGTGGTATCGAGATTGTTTTGAGTATCCGCGTTGTCGACGAAGATACTTTGTCCATTGTTCTCCTCAGGTTGCAAGAGCGACCATTCCAAGGATAAATTCGTGTCTTCCTTCTTTATTAAGCCCTGTGAAATATCGACAACTCTTTCCTCAGTATTCCTCGCGCAATCCCTTTCATCCTTCGTGGGATCATCCTTCGTGCTGTCTCGAGTCTCGTCTTCATTGTCGTCGTCCTCGTTGCCGGAATCGTTATCAAGGCTCTTTAAGACGCCCTCATTCTTCTCGTTACGCTTCCTGAGTTCCTCCCAATTCTTTCGCGGCTTGTAGCTCGTTTTTCGCCTGACGATCTTACTCTCGGTGATGTTGATGTCCGGGATAAAGAGACGCAACGCCTTCGTGCCAGTCGGGAACGTCATCTCGGTGATCCGCCTCTCGGACATGATTGCTCTCAGGCTCGTCCTCGAGGCGACTTCCTGGTGCTTGTTGAAGGCGGAGACCAGCTGCGCTACTGTGTACTTCGGCTCCTCATTCTCCGATTCTGTCGAGCGATCCTCCTTGTCGTCAGAGTTGTTGGAACGACTGGACACGTCGGAATGTTGACGTTCGCAGGGACGTTTGTACGCATTAACGGGCGCTGCGTTACGGCACAACGTTATCTCATCGGAATCCTCCGTTAGGGTGTCCGACTCGACAGACTTGAGGGAATCTAGATTTTCCTCGGATTCCGAGGTGAACTTCTTCGGGGTCTGCGGTTCCGCGTTCATCGCTGCGCGTTGCGAATCATTATTCAACTCGACGCACGAGTGGTTCCGATCATCGCAGCTAAAATCGTTCGGTGTCTTCGCGTCTGTCGACGAAACGGTTGGCACATTTTGGTCAATCTTCCGCTCGATCTTATCGGATGTTAAATCGATCTCCGATTTTACGTCAACGACCAAACGATCGTCGCTTATCGAGGGTGTCAGCCTGGAGGACGCGATCTCGGCGCCGAGTTGCTTGAAAATCGGCAACATGTCCTCGGTCCTCGCGCGCTGATAGCTCTTCCTTCGTCGTTTCAGGCATTCCAGACTTCTGTAGATATCCAGGACACCCTGGGACTTTGACAAAGATCTTAAACCGTACAGTTTCTCGCGGGACTTGCTGATTACGGGATTCATCGTAGCGACGGCACCGGCTCGTCCGCAATTGATCGCCGAAGATCCGTTCAGTAGACACGCCTGAGACTGAACGCGATTCAGACTGCGTATTCTCGACAATATACCGCGACTCAGGCCTTGATTCAGATTAGCCTGCGATCGGCTCTGAGCTTTACTCAGCAGTCCCTGCGTCTGTTCTTGATTCAGCAGACAGCTCTGGCTCGCGCAGCTCAGGCTAGTCCTGGAGGAGTTCAGGCTGGCCTGAGAATCCGCCGGACTGGGTCCCTCGCTACCCCCCAAACTCGAACGACTTCCGGTTAGGCGATGACTTAAGCACATTTCGCTTTGACTAAGTATGCAATCCTGTAAGCCCTGTTGACGATGCTGCTGATAGTTTTGGTCACTTTGGACGTCCCCTTGACAGAGACTCGCCTGGCTGGTCGCTTGGCTCATGAGCGCGGCCCTCCTCAAGTTTTCGCGACTGACCACGCGCTCCAGAAGAACCTCCCGCGATTTCGACAGGTACCTTCGCAGATGCGGCGACGCTTGCGTTGGGGCGCCGCGCAGCCAGTCGTGGCGCAGGCATTGTTTCGCGGTCATCCGTGCACTTGGAAAATAAAAATAAAAATAAAATTTACTCCTCGATACAATTTATTTGAGAGAAGCTAAGCGCGATGAGTCGTACACGTTGTTGGACTCGAGGACGCATCGAATTACTTTCAATGTATGACGATGTAAGCTTTTTCAAGGTATTCCAAATTTTTGAGATTCTCCAGAATTTCTAGTTTTTAATAATATCCGAGAGCGCGATTCGAGTCTTTATATGACGAAATTATTTAAAAACTCAAAAGATACGACGCTCGAACGCTCGTCGCTAGTCCTACGGTGATTATACCTTGGGTCTAGCACCAAAAGCTTTGCGACGAAGTCCTTTGCCTGCGCCGAGACATCCTCGAACAGCTCTTCGGGGAAGTCCACCTCTCCTAAGGATATATTCTGGAAGGTCTCTTGATCGGTCTCGCCACCGAAGGGCGAGAAGCCCGTCAGCAACACGTAGGTTGTGACACCGAGTGACCTGGAAAAGAGAATATTTTCGTAGACGAAGGAAACCCGAGCTGTGCATTTGCACAGAAAGGGTAACGAAACACTTGACGTTTGATCTTACCACATATCGGCTGCCAGCATGATCGGCTCGTAATGCAGTATTTCAGGCGCTGAAAGAGAAATGTAAACACGATTGAATGTATGGAAATGTACGCGCAATAGTCTCACGCGTGCCGAGGTCTCTCCTCCGCACGTCCACTTATTTCGTGTCCAGTGACCTCGCATGTGACGTCACTCGAAATCGCAAGCGTCATTTTTATTTACGTATGAAAATTGTGGGCTGATTCGCGAAGACGAGACGGGTCGGTTCGGGATGATGCTGCGAAGGTGATTCTATACGCGTCGCAGTTTCAGCTCTCGTCGCCTAAGATCGTCATTATAGTCCCGATCTGGCTCCACGCGAAGCCCCCGTAAAAGTTTAGCGCGAGCGCGGAGCGAGGAGATACGATTGCAATAACTGTTCCGGTCTATCGCCGTCAGAATGTCAGACCGGATTGCCTCGGCCGATGATACGATCTTAAACTACCCACCGTCGACCCCGCTGATCCTATTATTTCGTAGACAGTATGCGATCGTGCGCGGTGGCGACACGCATCAATTAAATCGCGCGGCGGGTAGTCCACCGGTTCTACCAATTAAGCAGACGGATTTAGAGCACCCTGGTCTTAACGGGCGTAACGGTTACTACCTCACCGCTTGACATTTCGCTGTTACAGCGAATGAGAAAAATGAGATAAGTGGGCGGGCGAGACCGATTGAAGCCGACACCGGCGATGATTAATCGGTAAATAATTTTCGGCGAGTCCGAAGGAACGCGTCGCTTTAAATTGCAAATCATATTTGGACTTACGACGGCCCGACGCGAAGAAGCATTGTTCGCGCGAGATCTCAATTTTCGCGAGGTAGGGACAGAGATAAAGAGAGAAGGAGAAAAAAAAGGAAAAGATCGCACAAAGGAGGGACGTTAATTCATCGGCCGTCCGACTTTGTTATTTACTTCGTTCCGCGACGTAAAGGCCACGACGCGTCGATTACCTTGCCTGGAAACAGCACGATTTGAAGAGACCGACGTCAATTACAGCAGGGGGAATCAGGGGGGCCGTCACCGCATGTGCGTATGCGTATATACGTAACGGGGGGTCCCCCTCCGGGCTTTATTAAGGGTGTGCGTCTGCGGGCTCGGCAGCGTGCAATAAGGCTAACGTGTCAATTAATATCGATTATATTTGCGATCTCGCCACGGTGATCGTCAATTAGCGAATCCAGATAATGATCGGTAGCAATTAAACCGCGCGGCAAAGAGCAAAGAGCGCGGACGTACCACCTGGACGAGTTTCCCTCCGAAACGACGTCACGGTGACTCCTTGGCACCGAGTAATGCCCGGTATACGCTATCTCTCGACAGTTATAATGCGGCAATTTATATTTTTGTGTTCTTGATTAAGGAAGTTTGTCAAGCCGCTATCGGCGCCGATCTCTCGGCGATCTCTCAACTGGGCGTGCTCCGAATTATTGCGTGCTCAAAAGAGATTTATGAAACGCGTTAAACTTTCAAAATCTCAAATGCCGTTGTTACGCGACAGAAAATCAGAACATTTCTTCTAGAAAGTAATACTACGAAAGACTGTCTTATCAAAATAATGTTTTTGTTATCTTAACAGGTTTTTATAACCATTACATAGTACATATACTCTTTCGGCATATATAAAAATACTTTCGCTTTATTATATATTATTTTTATTTATTTTCATATTTTTATAATTAAAGATTAAAATATATTTACTTCTTTAATTAACTTCTTTTTACATCAAGAATAGATCGTTTCAGATACTCAAATTGAAGCTTGAATTAAAAGTCTTCAAATCATTTTTTTTTGTTTGCAGTAATTTTTTTCCAAAATTGTTTGATTATTTATGTGCGTGTGTGTGCCACTTAAAAGTTAAATTTCTCATAGATAATATAAGTAAAGTCGCGAAGTAGTAAGTATACTGAGAATTTTAGAGAAGGCCGGTCACTCACCGACATAATCCGGCGTGCCAAGAATCTCCCGGACTTCAGTGCCCTCGAGGATCACTCTCGAGATCTCGAAGTCGCACAACTTAACATCGCAGTCCGGGAAAGAGCCCATCATGACCAGATTTTGAGGCTGTAAAAAAAAACAGGAAAACAAGTTCTCTACAAGTCTACACGTGTAATGTCTAATGGGTAAAGCGAGCGAACAGTCTCAAAATTGAGCCTCTCCGAAGCCGAACTGATTAGCATCTTTTTATAAATTTCTCAAATTTATTAGAGCACGCGATTGATACCTATATTAATACAACTTGGTTAATTTTTTCCACTTTCTATTTTATGGAATTGATCGGTTCGGCTTCGGACAGGTTAAATTGTTAGCTACTCCATCGTATACAATCCGCACGATCAAATCGCCTTGCACGATTTTATCTCACGAAACAGATGGTTCTGCTGGGATCGCGTTCGTACCTCGAAGAGCAGAACTGTCTGTCGCCCGTTTTATTGCGGCCGTAACCAAAGGGATGCGATCGGTCTTCCGCGTGCTCGTGCAGATAAGGACGCGCGAGCATATTAACGGCGTGAGGAAGCGATTTCTGTATCGCGTTACAACGTGCCCGGTATCGTTGCCGGTTCCGCCCGGTGAATGGAATTTCGGTGTACGCGCGTCGCGTCGTTTAGATTACGGAATCGCGATTCGACGACCGCACTTCGACGATCGCTTCAGAGATGCGCGCACAGGGTTGCATCGTGCATTCTTCCGCATCCGGTAATCGTCCCTTTACTTTGAACTTCCATGCTCGCTTCGGGAACGACCTCGATATACCTCGCGACAAAGAGAAACAGAGGAGAGTTCAACGAGCGCGCAGTGCGCGGCTCGACGGAACGCGGCGTGCCGTCTTCGATGCGTCGTTTTTACGACGACCTGGTGAATAGTGGCGTTTGTCTGCCAATATAAATGCTATCTCGATGTCGGCTACAACCGAGTCGCTGTATTCGTACTTGGCTCTAACGTGGCCGCGTCGCAACGACGTGGCCGATCGATCGTCTCGACGAGGGAAATAATTAGTCGCAAAAGACATCGGTATACAGAACCGGCGCGATATTATCCCTAAATAATTTATGAAAATGTATCGGACTTGAGAAGGGTAAAGAGCATGCGAACTACTGCGCTAACGATTTGCGGTGGATCGCCGCGAATTCAAAGACACGCCGACAATCCAATTACCATAAATCAGTAGTAACCGGCGTGTAACGAAGGTCGCTGACTATCGAAGGCTGCATTATTATAATTGCTGACATAATCTGAATCGCAACGATCTTGGACGATTTGACATATTTTTTAATTTTATATATCGATCAGAATCGTGACTTTCGTCAGCCGCCAGGTTCGTATGAACCGTAGCACGTACGCGTACCTATATTCGCGTGTGGAGCAACAACTCGGTTGAGCAAGATACGATAAAGCGGTAACTAGCCGTTCGTATAGGTGTCGAAAGTAAAAAGATTATTTTTTTTGCTTCGTGGCAAATAGGAGCACGCATATCGAACGTCCAGATCAATCCATCCTCACTTGAAGATGAAACGCGACGGAGGACGACCCTTTTTCGAGCCTCGTCGACGCTCATTGTCAGCTCGGTCAGCAATCAACGTCGCGGGAGGAGCCTTGGGTATTTTCACGTAGGCGCGCCTGAATATTCAAAGTTTCTCTTGGCCGCGCGCGCGCAGCTAATAAATAATGACAAAAGACGTAAAAATAAATCTCGCCGCGGCCCTCGGAGAAATACGTAATTCCCTCGACGGGGCCATTACGTGGCGGGAATATTACGCGGCCGTGCTCTCCGCACGTCGGCTTTACGGGCGCAATAATATCGCGCAGAAGCTCGCGAACGCGTGCAACCGAATGACATGCAGGCCACACTAGTGGGAAGACTATAAAGAATAATGCGCGCGGCTCGCAATCGCGCTCGCGAATCAAAACGGCGAACACCGCCCATCTTCGTCCACCGTCCTCTCGCTCTGCAAGTGGCCTTTTACAAGAGATTTATTTGTCTCGCGTTTTTCCGTGAAACGACTGTCAATTAAGCTGAGAGCGCGAAGTAATTCTCATTCAGGCTGGCTTGCCATTGCGAACTCGGAGAGATCGGGTGACGCGATCGAAAGATCGAGCGCGTTCACGTTGTACGCGATTCCAATTTAATTACGATGAATTCGCTCGACGAAATAAGAAGCGCGATCGATACAACGCTTCATTTCCCAGAAACGCTAATCAAACATTTGGACTACGATACCGAGCCTATACAAGAGATTTTGTTCTCGATTCGGTCTTGTCCATTGGAATTGAACAAATATCAAATTTTGGAATATAATTTGTAACGAAAATATCGAATGATAACGTAAAAACCCGAACATATGTTCCATGTAATGCAAGTTGAAACTATACGTTAATATCTTTGACTTTAAAATTTTAATAAATCGCTATACGAATTCTGTAAATTGCAAATGACAAATCAAATACGGAGTCCGATCTGCGTGATCGCCTTGGGCGTTTTGTTAATCAATTTCTTTCAGCATTATGACATTGGTAAATATCTGATGATAAACTCTCCGGGATCTCCAGAAAGATACGATCGGCAATCCCACGCGGATCGAATCGACGAAATCCTTTCGCGTTGTCCAAACAGACGTGTGGGCTCGAACAAATACAAGTACGTCAGTGTCGCCTGATTATTCAATCTATTTGTTCTATGTGGAAAAATATATTGTATCTGGCTGGACCAAACCGGTGGAAAGATCTATGCTAATACGTCTCGGATATAAAATCGTACGCTGCCAGGTGTTACAGTCGTAAGACTACCTCTCGATCTTTCAGCCCGAATACCCGGTCCGTCGCGTCGCTTTGCGCGATTTCCCCCTCGCGGGAACTCTCGGGTTATCGGGAGTTGCTCCGGTTATGGCAGGCCAGACGCAAGTACCCTACGGAGGAGGTAGGAAACCAGGTGGTGATTCACCAAGAGCGTGTGCACAACCGGCGAAGGAGCAGGGCGTGGTCGTCGTTCGCTGCAACACGAGAAGCGGCGCCGCGTATTCAGTTTTCTTTTCTTCCCTGCTTTTTTTCTCTCCTCCACGTCGCGAGCTTTCGCGCGATCTTTCTTATCCGCGGCACGCTCCCCCGGGTACCGCGGTGTAGACGGTATACTGGATTTGAGCAGCATCCCGCGATGACCCGGGACAAAACCGAGACCCGAGTCCAATCATCTGCTCCGTTCTGTTTTTGTCTTTTTTCCTCTCATCTCGCTCTTCATTGTGGATGATCCTCCGCGAAACATGTTTCACGTGGACGTTTCGACCCGGTAAAATCCCTCATAGCTCCTCGTTTCTCGCGATGCGGTTCGGAAGGGGAATCCGAGGAAATCGCGCGCGTGGAACACGGCTCGTTCAGGGTTCCTGCGCGAGCATACTCGAACCTCCTTTTCTCCCTTTTTTTCTCACGTACGTGCTATATATGCCGCACCGCCAAATACGGCAGCGACTTGTTTATGGAGCGCGGGAATAATGTTCACGTCGTACGCAACGGCGCGTATACGTACGTACATACGTACGTACACTCCGCCACAGAGCGCTTACGAAATAAATCAGGTGGTACCCATTCGTCGGGAACTTGAGCAACGATCAACTCGTAGTAGGTCAAAGTTAATTTATTGCATCACTCCCTCTCGCGCGCGGTAAACACCAATCGACCCATGACTGATGCACGCGATTGTCGCGATTAATTGCGTTCCTTAAATTAATCGCGTCGCTCGACCAAGGATCAACCGGGACTCTTTGTTTCGCGCAGGAGTAATCGAACTCTCGGCTTGACGTGATGCAAATTGACCTTAACTCGTGCGCGAGGGTCGCGAAATAAAAACGCAAGGCGGACGTTGGCAAACGATCCTGCTACCTCGATCGAGGATGTTGCTCGAGTTGCTAAAGGCTCGATGACCTTTTTCTCTCTTTCTCTCTCTCTCTTTCTCTCCCACGTGAGCTATTTCGGCGAGGATAACGAGGAGGAATCTTCCTATCCGTATCGAGCGATTTCGACGACCTCGTCGAATCAAAATGTACTTTACGACGCAGAGCCGCTTTTGCATCTCCCACAGCGTGTTGTTGTCGTCAGCTTGTTTTTTTCCGTGAATATCCACGCGATTTTACAATCTGATACATGTTCACCTCGCAACGCTAATCCGGCTCGGCGTCGATCGTCGCGTTCTTTGAATAACGTGTTAACGTCGAGATAAAATGTATGTAAGAGTTGTCTGAACAAAGTTCTAATTTATTGCGAGAGAAACGAATGAGAAACGGCAATAAGTGATGCGAACGCTAATGGAAAATGATAAAAAATATCACGCTTGCTGTGCGAAGAGAAGAGTCGAAAAACATCGCGGAATAAAAGCAGCTCCGAACTCAAACGAGTCAAACCAAGTCCAGCGAGACGGCCGCAGCTCCGTTTTCCGAGACTTCTAAGCCGCCGACGTTTTTATGCAGCGCGCGAACAGCAAAGGATTGGAGCGATAAAACAATACTGTCGAGATTAAAGACCGTCGGAGATTAAAGACCTCTTCCGTGTAAATGTCGTCGACTGTGCTATACCGACTGCGTCTGCGCTTAATTGACGCCGTTGAAGCATTTTATGGCTAAAAAAACGAAAACTTCACAAAAGTAAAACAGTCCGGGATGTTTGCTGTCCGTATGAGGTCCAGACACTCAGGAAAAAAAAGAGTACTGTCGACTTTGAAGAATAAAACGAGCTCGAAACGAGTCGTACGTCGTTCAATGGACAATTTATTCGTCCCGAAACGCTGCCGGATTTTCAAAGCGCTGACTAAGAAGAGTCCCGGAATAATTTGTATAACATCGACAAGAAAAACGTTATGCTGAAAGCGCGGTACGTCTGGAACGCGGGTTTCTTTTCGCTGATGAACGGTGAACGAAATCAACACCGTCCACTTGGAGGAGAGAAACATCGCTCGCGAAGGTGTCTCAAGTTTCGAAAGTCCGGCCGACTCGTCCGTTTTCCATCCTCGTTCGTCGTCGCAGACACGAGAGACAGCGTTTCCATCTTTTTTTTTATTTTTTTTCCGCAGAGCACCCGTATGTAAAAGTAAATTCGATTTCCGTAGATGTCGAAACGACCCGCTGCCCTCGCAATAAATCGAAACGAGGCGGAGCTGGCCCGTGTATTCGATTCCATTTGAGCGCGGATGATTGTTTTTTTTTCTTTCCTCGTTGAGTCGCGCCGTGATCGAGAAGAGGTCCTATGATCAAACAACCGCGCGCACGTGTATACCTTTGTCTGTGCACAGCGTAAATGGCAATTCCAATTTGTTTTCAAGAGCTTATCGTTCATCATCCCACACGATCAATAGCGCAACCGATCGCAATTAAAACTGTCCTCCATCGGTAGACGCATTATATTGTTTTTACGGAATAGAGACTGTCGCTCGATGATTGTCCAAGCTCGTTCGATCAGTTAATCACGTGTTGGACTTTGATATATCTGACTTACATACAAGACATATCAAAATATACACAGTCGATTAGTATCATATCAAGTGGAATAGATTCGACAATGGGGAGTCACCCTGGAGTCGTGTTATTCGTGAAATTTCTCAACGTCTTCCTCGTGCTTCCACCTCGTGTGCAAGCACGGAGAAAACAGTTGGAAATTTCTGGCGACGCAGTCGGTTCCGGGATCCGGATACACGAGAGAAGCGTGACAAGTTCGCATCGACCTTTTATGGGTCGAACTTACCTTGATGTCCAAATGGGCGATATTTCTCTCGTGGAGGTAGGCGAGTCCTTCCACTAGCTGCCGCACAAAGTGTACAACGTCACCTTCGAGGGGCACCAAATCGCCGTCGATGAGCGTCTGGAGATCGCCTCCGGGCGCGCTGAGAAAGAAATCGTCGTTTCTTGGGATAATATAATCGAAGATGGATTATGCTTAGGATAGTTAAGTCACATCACTAACGAGCTACGAGCGATCATTATTTTTTTCCCCATCATAAACCTCCCGCAGCGCTATCCCTCTAACAATAATAATTAATATGGCGAAAATTTACGTATATAAAACAAAATATTTAACGTAGTGAAAAAGGAATAGGAACGTAGTACTTACTATTCCATGACTAAGATGATTTCCTTCGGTGTCTCGTAGACATCGTGCAGTCTAACGACGCGTGGGGATTGCGAGCACAGAGACAATAGAGCGATCTCGTGTCTCAGTTCCGCGCTGCAATCGGCGTTGAATCGGTTCCTGGACGAGTACTTGGCCGCGTAAAGTATGCCGGTCGATCGCGACCTGCAGCGGTAGACTCTCGCCCACTGACCGCTGTGAAGTTTAACAAATCCTTTGTTAATACTTATACACGATTCTTAAGAGGGAAAGAAAGAAAAAAAAATGTAGAGCCTCCCCTGCAAGACGCAGTCCTGCGATACTCCGTATATACTTTAATCTCAAACCATCGTGAAAAATCACCGGAGATAAATTGTATAAGATACGGAACGAGATGCGCGCACGTGCGAGAATAAAATGAAGCGTAATGTAAAATGATGGAGAGAGTGACGGTACAGTTTATATTTGCAATTGTCCGTTGCTCGTTCGATCGAATGTTCCGATGCAGTCTTCGACTTTTAACACCGATTGACTTTGCGTATTCGCGATGAATTCATTTCGTCCTTGAGAAACAAGTCGATGCCCGAACGTTACCGCCTTCCCCTGGCATTCTTCATTACTCGAATACTTTTCTCTCCGTGACGTTTCTTCTCTCTTCCCTCCACTCATCGCATTCTTCTCTCCGCGACTTCGAAGTTCTCCGAAAACGCTTCGTTTTCAGGGGACTTACAGCCATCGCCGATTTATTGCGCAAAAAGCGTACGTTTTCTATGGAACCCTATCAATTTTATTTTCTATTCCATCGCGCGGGAACTTTTTGGTGTTTTGTCTTTGATTTTCGTTTCATGAAGATCGACGGCTATCTGACGGAATAATTCATATTATTTCGCACTCTTTGTCGTATTAAGAATCTCATACTCGCCGTCGAGGATTCCGGTCGTCTCTTCGGCAAGGTCGACATCGCGGCGCCTGGCAAGGCTGTGTTCGTAATGCGTACCTCACGTTTTCACCCGTATTCAAGCGAGCGAGCGAACCTTTATCCACAAGAGAGAGTGTTACATAAACAGCCCATATATATAAGATAAAATCGTAGGTACCATCAACTTTCTACATTGACATCATAAATATCCCAATGTTCTATTTTTCCGTTTAACGTCGACGAACGAGAATTCTTTACGGAACTTATTTATGATTGTTTTCTACATTTTTGGTATGTAATCGATTAATTAAAATCATCGAATCGGAGGAAATGCGAGGGTAATCTCGGAAGGTTTAAGAACCGGAAGTGCAGTTACCACGTGAAAAACGTGTCTCGCGTGCAAATTGGCGACGACTCATCGCCGTGGCAATATCCGCCGCGTCCTTTCGCGGTTGCGGAGATAAGGATTAATGAGCATCTGATAGCGCGCCACGCAATTAACTTTAATCGATTCCAATTTTAAAGCCGCGCGCCGGTGTGTACACTGAATTTTTCTACCCCTCCCGGATACGGAGAGATATCCGACTCGCGCGAGGAACAAAGGAAACGCCTCGCCAGAGACGGAGAGGGCGGTATATATGCTGCAATTTTTCTTGCCCTTTACCGTGGGGCTCAAGGCTCGTTCCCAAAAGTAATTATCGCGGGCGCGGAGCGGATATCAAAGAACGCGCACACGCGCGTTGAATCAGTAAGACACACGCGGTGCCACCGGGATAATATCCGCTGTATACGGCATAATATTAAAGCATTCGCTATTATTAAAGATCGGTAAGGGCGGTAATCGTAGAAAATTGGATTTTAGCGATCAATCGCGTAACGACGGCGATCGGGAAGTGTTGAAAGCCGAGCGAAGAGACGCGCTGAATAATTTATGAAAATTTATCGCCCCTGGCTTCACTTTTTGCCTCGGCCGATCACAGACACAGATATCGTATGAGAAAAAGCGTTTTATTGTTAGTCTCTGAATACACTGTTTCAGCTTGAGTTGCTGATATTTCAATCAAGAACTTCAACCAAGAAATATCAATTTTAATTTTTATTATTATTGTACATAGAGAGGAACGGAGAGAAGGAAAGAGAGAATATTTACGGCCAATGCGCGTAAGATGTATAACCGCGACGAATTCACGTACAAATCTCCATAAATATAGCGATTATGTCCATAACTCGATCCAGCGATATGGCGACTGTTTATATATGTTATGCGAGACGCCTTTGTGCTCGCCATGTAGCAACAGGTAAATCAGCTTCATTGGCGATGCAAACGCACTGCGAGGAAATCGCAGGGGCTGATATCGAGAGCGCGTGGAGTTATCAGTGCGCGCACCGACGCTATTTGAGAAATTAAAATGACGCATTAACATACCCATGAATATGAAACGTTTTAAAGTCGACACGAGTAAACTCGATCGCGCCTCTCGTGTCACGCCTTCTCGAAAGGGAGCCACTATATCGGTTTCGGTTAACAACCGTGCGATCGATACCGTCCCGATTAATCAATACCCCGCTGAAAAACCGGTACTGTCGCTCTATCACGTCGTATCCTACATTTATTGATTTATTAATTTATTTATTTATTCGTTTCGTTGAGACACCCCGATGTGAAAACGCGACGACGAACTGGGCGAACCGCTTTAAGTCTGAATCTGCTCTGACACAGTTAAAGTTTTCCCAGATAATGTTAATCAGCAATTTACATTCTGCGATGCTTAAAACGACAAATTCGACGATCAATCGATATCATTATTCGAAAAATGTTCGTCGCACACGCAGGAGTCGTTAAATCGATCAATTTTATACAAATGAAAGTAGCTCGCGACGACGGGATAACGACGCGCGGATAAATCACGTGCGGCTCTCCGCCCGTCTGCGTGCGTGCAACAGGCGCGTTTCGTGCGACTCTAAATTAAATTATTATAGCGCGAGAGAAATTGCAGGTTGGGCAATCGGCGCCCTATTACCGATGCCTCGTCATTACTGGTCGTCGACGATCATTACGGGACTAATTCGCGCGGCGATTAGCGGCGATGCAATACATATATATGATTAATGCGCGACGCGCGTCACGTATCGTTGCGTATATTGCTACCGTGCGTAACGCTTTGACAAATTATGCGTCGCATCCGAGGGTGATTAATCATTGTGCGTGGCTCGTTGCACGCGATGCGAGCCGCGACGAGGACTGAGGAGAGACGAAAGATCGTCGGGAGTAAATAACGCGCGACTCGCCAAAGCTGAGCAGCTGATTTTCGTGAAAAGTTTAAGAATTCAAGTCATTTCAGACTTTTTGTTAAAGATAATCTCTTTTTGATCTATAATGATCCGAGAAACACCGTTATTGCATGTATATAATTGTGTTTTACAACGTTTTAATCAGCGGTATCTTATAAACGCATGCTAGATGAAACCTCGCAGTTTCTGGCTATATTTTGCATAACTCTGAATCATATTACGAATCATAAATCGACTCACCTCGCGAACGGTTTCGGATCGATCTCATAGTGCTCCGTGATAGGACCCGTCTTGACCACCCTGGCGAGCTGCGCCTCCTGGACAAGGACTAAGCCCTCCTTCACGTGTTTCTCGCTCCACTGCACTCTGCATCTTCCTCTGCATCTCTCCTCGTTGACCACCCGCTCGTTCGTCCGCTTCGTCTTCGCACATTTCGCTGGGGACGCTTGCAGACTACGGCGTTGCGGTCCAGGCGACGTCTTCCTGATAGACGACATCGTGGGCGCTTGATGATTCGACTGATGGTAGATCATGGCAGCTGTGGATCGTGGACTTGGTATCGCGTAAAAACGCGCGTATCGACATACACGCGCAGCGGAGACTTCGACGCTTAGCGCACTCGTGTTTCACCCCTGATCTCTCCTCCTTCCCGCAAATTTTCGCAAACTTCGAGCGATCGATCCAAGCGTGATCCACCCAACCGCGCCACTCCGACGTCCAAGCTCTCCGTCGGACTCGCGGACCCGCGATCTCGATCCGGACGACTCGACCCGCACTCTCGCTCTCAATCTTACAGCCTGCACTCTCCGCGTTCGATCTCCGCTCGATCGGCCACGCACACGCAGCGAGCCAAAGCGCGCGGTGTCATTCTGTCATCGAGAAGGTGACGGCTCTACCTCGCTGTGCGACGCGATCGATGCCGATCCTCACATCTTGCGGCCGCGCGCGTTAGAAAGAGAGAGGGAGAGGGAGAGACAAGAGGGACAGAGATCGCGTGGCTCACGGTCCAGCGCCAAGTCTGAAACTGGCCGCTGCCGGAGTCAACGAGAGCACGAATCTCCTTCTGCGCGCTCCTCTCCGATTCGCTCTCTTCCTTCTTCGCGCGCCGGAGAGCACGCCGTGAGTCCGACACCGACACCGAGACCCCAAGCCATCTCCCTGGACCTCCCCTCGATCCTCCCGTGTCCTCTTGCCACGATTCTCCTCCTCCATGGTCAGCTTGAAATCCTTCTCCTCGTCTGACTTCGTAATTATAGGTGGACATGAAATAGCGCTTCAATATGTAAATAAAGTAGCGGGACTCATTGTTCCTCTCGCGCGAAAGAAAGAGACGCGACTTGTGGTTTGACGATTGTAATTTTACTGCCGACTGCGTACATGTATATAGATATTCGTAATGAAATTATCGGTATATACCTATTGTATGTAAAATTGTACACATACAATATTACATATTTTATATTGTATATAATACACAGATATTAAAAAGTAATTTCATATAAAGAGTAGAAATTTTAGTAGAAGGAAAGTGAAAGCATCGTGAATTTTTACTACCAAGTCTCTCGATCGAGCCTTTACGCGTTACATTTCAAGTACCTAAGCTTGGGATGAGGAGCCTATTTAATCAGGCTAACGACCGGTCGATAGGCCACTCGTAGAATAAGAGCCGATCGTACATGCCACTTTTAAATAGCGTGTCCCACTGCCCACTCAGTTCTCGAAACGTCCTACTTTTCCAAGCTTGCGTTCGCGTTGCTCGCGATACTTTAGAAATAGACGGTGTTAATTAGGCGTCTGTACCTACGCGATATTTTCGCTTGATTGATTCCTTCAACAGTTTACGATTGTCGGGAATTATCAAGCTGCATTCGTTTGAAAGTCGCGCGAATCCAAGACGCCAAGAATATCTTGACTCTCGATGGGCGCATTCACGGAAGTGTCAGCACAAAGAAGCATCCTCGGTCGCGTTACGATCGACGCGCGTGCAAGAGCCACTTCGGCGTGGAACCTGGAAAGGAAGCAGTTCACCGTGTCAGAAATTCTTTTTTCCCCTCCTTCCCCTCCCTTGTCTCCTCGAGGCGCAACTTATGCACATGCATAATGGACTCGCGCCCGCACATCTACGCTGCGGTCGCTGCGCGACTGGATTCCACCTACGTCAGAGAGGATACTCCATAGCATCATCGTCACTACTACATCGCCAGAAACGGCGCCGCGAATGCAATTAAAAGTAGCAGCAGCAGCACCAGCAACAACAGCAACGACGACGAAATATCCAGTTCAAAAAGAAATGGAAGAAGAAGAAAGAGAAGAAGAATATCGTTGTCGAGACAGGACTACGTAGTTTCTCAGGTCAGGGCTACTCTGTTAGGAAATGGTGCTAAAACGAAAGAATGGTGGTAAAGCAAGAGAATGGCAATAAAGCAAGAGAAAAAAGGCAAGAAGAATATGACAAATAGAGGGAAATTTATTGAAGAGCTGGAATTAAATTTTCTTATTGTGCTGAGGAAACAAAGATCTGTTAAATTAGAGAGTTTATCGACAAGTACGATCTGTCCATGATTTCAAATTTTTCATACGTAATCCGATGTGTCTCATGAAAAAAGTGTTTTTCTGATAGTTCTAGCCGGAAATTGGAATTTAACTTCTCTGAAGTTTCAATACAACGTTTCATTAAAATTTTATTATATTTTTATACAGAAATAAAAGATCGAATAATATTCTCCTATTTTTTAATATTAGAAATTTCAGTTCGACTGATGTAAGATGATATTCGTGACAATCAAAAGACATTGGTATCTAACATTGAGTTTATCTCCCGTATCATGGGATAGACTTTTTTTCTTCGCTTCTCCGTCACGGAGCACCGAGGAGGAGATCTGGTTGTTTCAGGAAGAGATCCGTGTAACCGGATCGACCTTTAACTTCTCTCGTTACAATAATGGAGGTTGGTCGAAGGGCCGGTCGCGCGGTAATTGGAAATTACCGTGTCGTCGCGCATGGTGGGTCACGAGAGCGCTCTCGAGAGCGCGCCAACAAAAATGCGTCCACATTGGCGTGGCGTCGGGTGCACCGGTATCTTTCCGGCGGCGGATTTATCAAGATGACCGGGATTGCGGGTTCGCTCGAAATAATCCCGAAACAACCTACCCCCCGATTTCCGCGAGCGCGTGAAAAAGTCGCGAAGATCGAGAAGAAGAATCCTCGGCGGTGCCACCAAACTTGGACGTTAGAGAGATCTCTCGATCCGACTTCTTCGCAAATCGACTCCCGCACTATACTGTGGACGAGAGAAACAAATACGCACGGGTCTCGGCGCCGTCGGAGAACGGAGGCCGGCCGATTTTTCGCATTTGACGCGTACATTTTCGCTCTTTATCCCGGACGCGAGAGATATAAACGCGCTTGTAAAAGCGGCAATATGTTAATGAACGCGCGAGGGGGCCTCACCTTCAAAGTTTTCATCGCTTCCCGGAAACGTGCTTCAAGTACCGATCTGCCATTTGAACACTGCTCGTTATGGAATGCGTGCATTATTGCAGATATCTCGAAATAAGTAATAAATACGTCCACAGGACATTGACCTTAATGTCTATCTCTCGAGCAATCGGCTATCCGTACATTATTAAGAACGCCGAAAGTACCGTTTTCTTCGTAATATCGTGGAAAAGTGGAGCTGAGTTCAACGCCACGTATCGCGTGGGACTAATGGTAATTAGGTTGGACCTGGACGCACAGAAGGCGAGGAGAAAGTGCCGCTGTGTTTGCGGGTGCTCATGATCGAAGGGAGGATCCGCGCCTGGTGTTTGCGACGGAATTTGCCGCTGGATGTTGCAAGGCTGAACCAGTGCTCCCAAGCCTTGTCCATATAAATATATCGATGCGTGTAAATTCGATACCGGTATTATTGGCCGACTCTCGATAAAATATACAACACAATTTAACACGCGTGTATATATCATACCTCTTTTTCCCTCTCTCCCATTATCCGTATGTATAATGTAATAAATTGAGGTAAATTTTTCTCAACTGAAGAATTAACTATCCTTTATTTTGTGTCGAATAAGGTTCCGATTATCAGGGCGAACATCTTTGCTGGCGTAAATGCTCGGGCGCGCGTCATTCGCGCGTATCGAGGCGCGTTGAAAAGAAAGGGAAAAAGAACTGGTTCGAGCTCTGGTCGTCGAAGGTAGGGTTCGAACCGCGAATAGACGATCGCGGCTACCCATATCCTTGGCACACGATCCGCGCCGGTGGTGGCGATCTCGCTTGGTGCTAATTGCCGGTACTAATTGCTTGTCACCACGCTCGTCGCGGTGATACTCGCACGTATCGCTTCTACGTACGACACCGAACACTCTTGGGGATACGAGGCACGTCGCATACGCGACACGATGACTGTCGATTCCGACAAAGGACCGACAAAGAACATTCCGCGAAAGTTTGCACAGACGACGTGTCTCATGGGTCTTTACACGCGCGATACGCGAAACGCTCGCGCGCGCGAAAGCGGAGGCCGTTGCCACTTTGTCGCTGCCGAGGTCCGCAGCGATTTATTTCTCCGGACACGAGACACTCGGGTAATCACACGACTGAGATCCCACGGAGATCGCCTTCGTCTTCACGGAATCTCAATGATATTGATTTAAGAGGAAATCGGTTTAAGCGGATCTGGGAACGTCTATCGCGAAAAATGATCCCCTCGCAAATTTTTAAGATTCTACCCGATATTACGTGTGAAAAAGAAGCATTATAGTTGGGAATTATTTTAGCGGGAGAAACTTCATCAGGGGGCTTTCACGGTATTTAAAATATCCCCGCGATCTATCTCGCGCTGCTGATTTGTTTTCGTGCCGCGGACAAATTACACTTCGCTCGTCCCGCCGCGGAGAAATGGCTTCGCGAGAGTGGCCGACAGTCGGATCAGTCTTTAAAATCTAAATTTGCGCGCTTTCCGATGTACAAAACGTCGGCGAGGAGGCGAGGGGCGACTCCGCATCGATACGCGCCGGTAATATTATTCATGAGGCTTTCACGGATGCCGGCAGGTATTAAAGCGAGGGGAAGATTTTAGCCGACGTGGATTCTATTTCGCGACGTCGGACGTCAGCGCTCGTCACTGTCACCGAGGGCACGCCGGAGAGGAGAGGCGCGGATAACGCGGTTTCGCGCTTGAAAGTTCAATCTAAAGCGAAACCCGTCTCATCCCGCGCGCGAGGGTTCGAAGATTGGCTGTTCTCTTATCGTCAATCGAACGTATATCTCTCTTTTTTCTTTCACGGCCGTAGACCGCAACGTTACGCGATGAATTCTGCGTAGATTCCTCACATCCGCGCGTGGATACATGTTCACCTCGCGGTGTCCGAAAGGTCGAGCCTCCACTTTCCAGCGGCAGATCGCGGCTGTCGCGATCGATCGGATAACTGTCGGAAAAGCCGTGCCATTTGCAAAAGGGAAAGAGAGACAGGACGTGATTGCGAGCCTGCGAGGTCGGCCCCTATCGTGCCGTTCGAAATCAATTATCCCGAGGATGGGGACGCGGAATCGGCGCGCTTAATGATTTCTGTTTATAGGCCTACCTTTCCGCCGCACCGGCAGATGCGATAAATTCGTGCCGCGCGTCATTGTTGACTTTGATGGCTCGTTATTTGCGGCACTGTCCTCGGCGCGATACGTTGACGTCTTCGCGCGCAATAAAATTGGTACGTCTCACTTTCGTACGCCGCCGCGCCGGCCGCGTCGCGACGCGACGCGGCGTGACGGGACGGAGCGGGGGCGAAAAGCCGGCGCCGATGACCTCAAGAAGTCTTCCGGCACGGCTGCCTCGGGGGAAAAATCTTATCGGCGATTTACGAGCTTGACGCGCGACCGGCCGACCGCCGGCCGGCGAGAAAGAGAGCTCCGGGCGCCTTCCATTTCGAGCGCGGAACACGTGGCTCCTTTTGAAGATCGAGAATTTTATCGTAGCACGCGAGAGTATAAAATTAGAACCCGAGAGCGATATGATAAAGGCCTGGCGAAGTGGAGGGCTCACCGGGTGGTCAACCAGCGACAACTATAAATAAACTAAAGATACTCGCGCGAATTAAGGAACCTCGCTGGGAAAATTTCTATCTACGCGAATGTCGTATTTTATCTTTGTTAAAATGGTATGCCAAATTCGGCAATACCGAACGTCGAATTATTCGCGACGAATCCCAAGGTCCGGGCGTTATTCGAACAACGCGAAGAGGACACGGCGAATGCGAGGAATGCAAATTGTCGACCCCCATTAAGGAAAAGCGGCACGATGTGTTTGCGCTAAGCGTAATGCGCGTAATGCGCTACTACGTGCGCGCGTCGTCGGCGTCGGGTTGCACGTGCGAGTTCCCTACGATTTACGATCTTAGAATTAGACACAATAGGAACGACCCGACTCTCGCGTCTAATAATCTTCGCCGTATACGGGACGGGACTCGACGCGCTCGTGCCGACTACCGACTGCCGACGCGAACGTTGCCCAGAATTTGCTAATAGCGCTCTTAAAAGGACATCGGCGACCGAAAGAGACGAGGTTTTCGTAACGTCCGCGTCGATCTGCGAACGGATGAGTTACAGTCCGCTGTCATCCCGAGAGATTCGAGTCCTTCCGCGTTCTCGATCGTGAGATACTTCTTCCGCAAGAGCGCGAATCACAATGGGACGAGGACGAAAGGGGACAATATACTGAGTTAGGTCTGTCGCTATCACCAAAGTGCGAAAGCGAAAGTTGTCGAAATTCGTACGACGCACCAAGAAAAGTCCAAGGAACAGCTTTAATCGTCGCGTTAATGACGCGGCGTGCGATGCGAATCAGCTTTAAATCCGCCAGGATAAAAATCGGCCTGCCTTGTAATTAGAGGCCTCTCACGCCGCCCGTTTCGATTCCACATGGCACGTTACATCTTTCTCTTTCACTCTGCCTCCGCCTCCACTCTGCCTTTGTCCTTTTAATTTCTCTCCCTTTCTTTTCTCGGTGGTTGCGCAGCGCCGGGGCAACTCGCACCCTGACCTGCGCGCTAATTAACGAATTATCATTCGACGGCAGCGAACAGCGGCGGCGCGACTTTATTTGGTCGCGCCAGGTGTTACGAACGGCACGCCGGCGTTGATTTAGCAATTTCTAGGCGCCACGAATCGCCAAGTAATCGCTTGTCGCCCCCGGCAATTTCCATTATCGGCATACCGAGAGGCTGAGAGTCCGCGAAGGCCGTCGTCACGGCGGATAAGGTAGAAAGAGACACGCAGCCTCCGCCGCGCCGCGATCCGTTGTCGTCGTCGTTTTTCGTTTTCCCGCAAAATTCGACGCGGCGTAAATGAAAGCGTGGGAAAATCTTGTGTAGCATGCACCTCGTATTACCGAACCGGTCCTAGGAATATCATAAGAAAATTGCTACGTCGAAGGGCTTCCCGATCATTTTCTTGCAAACTTAACGGATTACGTGTGTTCGTGCGTAAAAATATTTCAAGTTTTTATTTCGCGCGAGACGTTATCGTCCCTGATGGTATTATTCACAAAATTACGACGATTTTAATGAGACGCAAATAATCCAAGGTTCACACAGTAATTTCGTTTTCATCCATGACGGAAGATCGGGAGTTTGCTATACCCGGTTAATTTCTGAATTTCTTGAATATGCAGGCGCGTGGGCACCTTCAAGGTGAAGCCGCCGCGGTTTTGAGCGCGATTATATCACGTTTCATTCAATTGCAAAACGCGCGATTATAGCGAGCGCACTGTTATTATCTATTAAAATGGCAGTATCTCGCTGTATCGGCCGATTACGTAGTTCCTCGGTGACACAATCGCATTAATGTACAACTGCGATTTCTCCGTTCATCCCGTGTGATCACTACTGATATTATTTCGGCAGATATACCGCGATATGAAACGAAGCGACTGTTATACAACTTCGCGATGAGGAAAGGAGGAGGATTGAGTCGTCAATTTTTAATAAGAGCGTGAGCTTTTATTTATAGCAAAATTTCGATTGAGAATTGATCAATTTTGTAAAGCAAGTCGCGCCTCGCTCGATCCTACGAAAGCCGAGACATTTTCCAGCTCTCCGTGTCGCAGAAAACTCCTTAAAGGTGAATCATCGCGGCAGCTGTGCCGCTGCTAATGTACGCCTATTTATAGGATAAACGGCGACGTTCTCGGAAAAAGTGTTCCATTGGCCATATCGGTAAGCAAACGCGAAACCAGGGCCGCTCTCCCTCCGTCGCCTCTCCGTCGTGTATCGTTGATTTTAATCGGTTAACCGGCGAACCCGCGCGCAACGCATCTCCCGCAGACGGAGATTTTCCACGGCATCCCTGCTTCAGATCGCATCGCTATTCCACCCTTCGGTTGTCCCGCGAGAGAGAAGGCGTTGAATTATTTATAATAACGCCGGTAGGAACAACCGCGCGGCATTAATGCGCGAAACGGATTCCCTGTTCCTTGCCCCGGGTGCGTTGACCACGCATGTAACGCTAGGACGTCCCGGGAAGTCTTGCTCCGCGCGTTATTTACGGCAGAATGCAAATTTAGCGCGTAATTTATCCTTGTCGTGAGAGAACGCTTCCCTTATCCTTAGCCCGAGTAACTTTAAGTGATGGCACGGCACAATGGACGTTGCGCGCGTAAATAAAAGTAAGACCATAATTGATAACGCAAAAAATGAAAAACAAACACGAAGTACAAACGAATGCTTCTTAAGTTTAAGTTTCTTCTCGTGTTACGACACGTGTAACTCTAATGGAACGTGCGAGAGTAGCCTTTCACTAGGCAACCCGTTCGGCATCGTTGCACGTGAAGAGATTGACGCTTAACACGCAATGCGTGAATGTTATTGAAAAATCAGCATTGTCGAAGAGACAAGTGGGGAACGAAATTTACAAAGAAATTTACACACGGTTTTGAACGTATTGTTGCGTTTATTTCGTACTGTATTATTAAAATTAATACAATGACAGAAGTATTTACAGGAGGTTTTTAGCAGCTACATGCGCGATCGCAATCTTCGCGATTAATTATTAATGATATAATAATATAATAGCATAATATAATATAATAATTCTATAGAATATAATAATTATAATATAATAATAATAATAATAATAATAATAATAATAATAATAAGAGAATATATCGGGCAGCGCGGCGCGTCCAAGTCGCACGGAAGGCAAGAGTCGACGGCGTTCTCCGCGGATTTCAATTAACGCGAAGAAATGAAGCGAAAACTGATTAATTCTGACTAATGACGTATCACAAAGAAGAGAAATAAATAACGAATTCACGCGAGAGAAGCTAAGTCGACCCACCCGGGTCGCGCCGCCCTCGCCCGTCGTAGCAAAATTATATTTTACAGGTCTATTCCGCTCTTTGATTCTCGGAGACGCATCTTGAACCACGTTCCCCGGCACACACACACGCGCGCACATGCGTCTCGAGAGGAAATGCACGCGTTCGAATTGTGCGTGTACGCGGCTTGTCCGTTCGCGTTAACGAACATTTCGGTGGTTTTTGCATTGATCGTCAAACCACCGTGGTCGGAGAGACCGAATAATCGATCGAACAGTCGCCTCGGCCCACGAGGTCGAAAGTTTCCCCGCGCGATGGGTTGAAGCACTAAGCAGTCGCCGAAGAGAAGATTAAACATCACGAGATTTTCGCTTCGCGAGTTATTCCAAAGTTGCTGATTTGGAAAATTCGAAATTTTCAAGTCTAAAGAAGTTCTCGAAATAGTCAACGTATCAAAAGTGCGCTTTTTAACTTCGAAGAGAACCATCAAAAACCGAACATCGATCGATATTTGCAAGCAATACGGAAAGAAATTCGGGAGTGTTGCTAAAAATTTCGTCGCGTTAAAACATCAGTTACATTTACTGGCAAATTCCACGTCCTCGTATACCCCATGGAGATTTTCTGCAAAGAGATGTACAGATTCACGGTTGGACGAGCCTCTCGTGCTGCTCGAAGCCAAGGCTCGCCAACCAAGTCCGTAGTCATTTTTACAGCGCTCTCCTCGTCCGCTCTTCTTTCTTTCTCGTTTCGCTCGGCGAAGACACAGGTCGCTCGTTAGCGTCTCGCCAACGAGCGTGTGTCCGCGGCGAAATGAACGAAAATTAGAGGCGCGAAAAAAGGGGGAGCGAGCGTGAGAAAGAGGACGGAACGTGTTTATGACTAGCATTCGTTGCGCTATGCGAGCGAGCGATTCGCGCGCTTCAATTTGCGCGCGATGATGAATTTTGTGGCTAAATAAATTTGTGTATGTACAATTTTGATTTGCGCGTCCACGAGAGCCCGGAGAGCAGACGAGGTCGATTGTTGTTTTTTCTCTCTTTCGTTTTTCTTCCGCGCTCGACGAGCAACGAACAATTTTGAAGTAATAGAAAGAAAGGATGCTGGTTCATAAAGTATATCTGATAGTACAATTGAGAAATATTTAACAATAGGAAAAACGTATATACACGTGATATATACGGCCTATAGGAAAGTGGTCCCTTCTCCATAACGTGCGTCGAGAGTTTTCGGTGGTTCGTGCAACGAGTTCATTGACATCTGAAGGGCTCGGCCCCGCATTGTTAATTTCTTCCGCCGAGGCCGTATTCGAGCTAACTCGAGAATTAGAGGCGTCTAGAAGGCTCGTCCAATTTTTTGATCTCCCGCGAAGCCGCGCGCAATTAAGGCACTCTTCACACTTCAGACGTACAATTCTCTCCCTGTTAGGCATCACAGTCTCGTGACTCGAAAAGCCTTGCCCGCGAGTAAACTGGACAAGTAAACGTAGGCACTGGTGATATACGCCGTATTAGCGCACAAGCGTCGTGATTTTTCTTAAAGGAAGGCACCGAAATGTGTTTATCTGGATTGTCGTTAATCTCGGTCGTCGTTAAATTCAACAACCGATTAATATGGCGATTCGTGCTGACGGAACCGCGTGCAATGCACCGAGATACGTTATATTGTTGCTGACATTGCGGGATTTTTGTCAACTTATTCGAAAATCGGCCACTCGAACTTTGACAAGCGTTCTCGAAACGAACGCGGTATAAGACGTAACTTTTATCAATTTATTATTGATACACGAAAATGTCTGTTTCTAAAAATCGTGCTTCAAAAGTTAGGCCTTTCGGAATTACAACGTTGTTTCGGATAAACATGCAACGCGTCTCGGTGCATGCGCACGCGATGATAACTCGAATTTCCCTCAACTCGAAAGGACGGTCGATCAGTCTATCAATAACGGCAGCCTAAGGGGAGCTCTCTTTGCTCAAAGTCTCGATTTCAGACGCATTCTTTTCCTCCTCATCGGGCAGTGACGGTGGAATCCGCCGGGATTATCGGAGAATCGCCATCGACTCTTGATGGATCGACTATCCTCGCATGTGGCGGAACGCGTTCCCCCATAGCCTCCATCCAACGTTGGGTGTCGCTATGACTCCGCATGACCTTTCCCTCGGATCTCCACCGTCGCCACCCCGGCGCGAGACCACCCCTGTTGATCGGCGTCGCAACCGCAACCGCAGGCACCTTCTCACACAAGCCACGCATACCTGCGACTCGTTCTATCGCTCGTACCTTCTCTGATTACTCGAATATGTACATCAAGACCACCCTCTTCGAAGCCGCTCGCTTCCACGAAGAGTCAATGCATACATGCACGCACGCATACATACGAATACGCATTCACATTCTCTCTCACCCGTATTTACAACAGCCGTTTGTTCGCTTTGATATGATACAAGCTACAATCTCTCGGCACCTTCGCGAAGGCACGCGTATGTGGAGAGGCGTCGTACACGTAGGATTCCGCGTGCGACACGCTTCGCACGCGGCTACGTCGTACGATTTGCGCAGTCGTGCACACGCCCTTTACAATCTGTCTCGGGTTCCTGAGAAGTCCGGCGAAAAGTCAGGACAGGGGCTTCGAGAAGCTGTTCGAGGATTCTGGAGATCAGGCTTAGTGTGGTACGTGCAACGTTTTATTCTCGCTACGAAATACTGCTTAATATTATATGTATCGTGATCGAGTTACAGGATACCGTTTCGCAAATTTTTCTGATTGAATTAACATCTTCGCGACACGGATCGCCTTTATAAGTTGCACCGTGACTTTCGGAAAAATTAAAGCAAAAATACACCATATTCCTCATGCTATAATTTCACGTTCCCCTAACGCTATCACAGCATTATGCGCTTCACGAAAAATAAATTCAGAAGTAATCCCTTTTATTTTAACCACTGTCGCGTGACATATCGATATCGCTCTCGACTTTATCACTCGATCGCAACAATCAAAGGAACCGCGAATCCGAATATATTTTTCACACAAAGCTCATAGTCCTACATTCTTATAGAAAGACGCGTAATCCTGAACCTTTTTTAAGAATCTTCTCTGACGTCACAGCCTTCGCAAATCTCGAGGAACTTCGTCCGTCCCATCTCATCCTTCGTTCGCACATCCCTCGGGCACGCATCGTTGCTCAAAACCTCCCTCCTACTTCTTCACGTCACTGTACACGTGATATTACGCGATACGTACAATCGCCTCGAACTCCCGATCTCTCGGCAGCTCCTCAAGGAGGCTGCCAGAGACGTCCGTCCACCTGCGCGCGAATATAATTCAACTGCCGGCACCTGCTGGCGCACAGCTGGACGGCACGATCCTACGAGGCCTCATGCACCTGGAACCGTCGAATTCGCGCTTGCACCGACTCGCACTGTACCTCGCTATACCTGGTGTACCTGCCGGCACGTACGGGTTCCCTAATAACCACCAGGTTGCCGCCCCGTTCGCGGAGCGCCTCGAGACCAGCCTTGCTACTGCCGCCGCCGCGCAACGCCGTCACCGTCGGCGGCGTCGTCGTCATCGGGATCTTGGCGATCTTCGTCATCCCGGACGAGGTCTCCGATGTGAAGCGGCTGAGCGCCTTGCTGACGACGCCGTTACACTCGCGCGGCCATACTCGGGCGGCGCGATGGTGATGATGATGCCTCTGTTCCCACCTGTCGGCGGTTGCGTCGGCGGCACTGAACGGGAAACTCGCTCTACCTTGACTCTTACCGTACAGAATAAAATCGAGAGAATCGTCCGAATAGATGCTGCTGCGATCGCTCGAGCTGTCGGTCGAGATTTCGGATACGGTGTCGCTGCCGCTATCGCTGCACTGTTGCTCGGCCTCGCCGAGGATGAACACGGGCGTGCACTTGAACACCTCGCCGCCGCCAGCCGGCATCGTGTGGGTGGCGGTGGCGCGACGTTGCTGAATACTACCGCCGACGTTTGACGGCGACGGTTCGATGATGACGATCTCCGGCAGAACGCTGCCGGAGAACTTTCGCGCCAGCGAGTCCATGTTCCTCTTGAAAGTGTCCCTTCGGTCCGGGCTCAGCCCGAATCTAATCGGTTTGGACAACGATCTCGAGACCGAGTAAAGATTTTCCGTATGCGAGGAGACGGCGCGAGTGCCCGCTGCTGGTTTGGAAATCTCCGCACTGTGGCACAGACCAGTCGTGGACGACCTTTGTTGCTTCTCGCCGTCGCTCTTCGGCGTGGACGAGACCTGACTTTGATTGGCGATCGGCAATTCCGACGAGGCGCTGTTCTCCTGCGGGGTCGTCGTCGTCGTCGTCGAGGAATCGAGGACGGCCGCGGGGCTTTCGTCTGACGAGGGGCACGTCGTCAAGGGCGCTAACGGCTGCTCGAACATGTTGAACCAGGGATGCTGGAGGCACTCGGTCACCGTCAGACGTTCGCTGCGAACAGACAAGAATTGTTCGTTTGGAGAAAATCGTTTTCAATACTCTCGCGAGTTCTTCGCGAATTTTTCAGCTAAAATAAGCCTTTTATTTCAATATCGTATTTCCAATTTCCTGTTAGAACGCTAAAGATAAGAGGCTTGACGGTTACGTCGGTTACTTGAGTACACACGCGCGGTGCTCTTGAACAAATATATCCTAACAACAGGCTCGTTCCGCGAACAACGTTCTCGTCGTCCTCGTTAACTCGAGGAGCGAGAGAGTCAAAGGGTTAAGAGACCCGTCGCATAAACGACCTCCGCTAGCGGACCGCAGCATTTATCGGCGGTGGCCATCATCGTGGCGGTCCCGCCGGAACGTTTTCGCGTGGCTATTTCGTGCCGCGCGTATACCATCCACGTATCGCACGGCCTGCCCAGAAACCATTACGTTGGCTAACGTATCGGTTGTCTTCCGGCATACGGAATGGCGCAGGATATCTTCAATAACGGAGCAACGAATTGCGCAACACGTAAACGCCGTGGAATGTCGACCCGTAGCTACTAAAGTGCTTTAGGGGGCGGTCCCCTTAATTCCGGGACCGTCAAAAAGGCCCGAATAAAAAGTGTTCGCATAAGCGAATTAACTCTTCCACTCTCGCATTTACATTATCATTATCGTGCGAAAAAACAAACGCTAAATATTGGACAAAATGTTCTACCAGGTAGACTAACGTGATATAATTTTATGAAGCGGAATAGAATCTTACCAAGTTGTCGATGAAAATTATCTAACATAACAATCACCGTTATCACGGCGAACAAATTTATAGATCACGCTTCTTGCTAATCATTAATGTAATAACACTAATTAATTACGCGATTGTTTGCATAATACAAGTAAAGAATGTAAAAGAATGATTAATTGTAAGATACATTAATTTTAATGTAAATGCGCATAAACGAATGTAAATTCGATTGCGAATATGTTTTTCTCCGAAGCAGTGTAATGCAACCTCTTCGAGACTAAATATGGTAATTTGCAGGTCAGCAATGAAGACTGCCATTCAACGTCGTCGAGCATGATGATAAGTCATGCGGGTTCCGTGCGATAAAACTTTTTGCGCTCGCAAGAGAGGAAGGACGCGGATAATTCCGGATAGCGACTTCCTCTCAGCTGTCCGCGCGATAAGGAAACCTACGAAGTATTTCTTTCTTTCACTTTTCAGCGGAACTCGCCTTCCTCGACGTCGTTCTTCGCGCTTCGAAGAAAGTTCCTCGCGAAACGATGTGGCATCGATCATCTTACTCGCGATCGATAGCAGGCTCGACGATCGGCTGATGGGCACTTCCTATCCTCGGACGAGAATTAATAAATGCATCTCGAGAGATGGAATCACAGTGGCGCTATTGTGTGCAGTTAATCCGCAAAGCATTAAAAGGAGGAAGGCGAGGTGAGTCAAACGCGATTCGAGGAAAAGATCTCGCGTGTTTAAAACCGGAAATTGTTGTGGTTCAATCCGAGAGGCATTAATTTGCGCGTACATCTGTCTGATTTCTCAAATGCACGCTTGCGACTTTTATTCGCTTTGTTACATCTCGCATAATCGAATGAAAGCCGAAGCCAATAACGCGATGAAAGTAAACCAGAGGCTTGAGGATATGTCTCGCTCCTAAGAATTTATACAACAAGAGACACCGACGGACGAGGCTAGAAAAAAAGGCGCTCCGACGACAAGCTGACGGGAATGCGAAGCAACTGTCGCGGAGTTTCGCATAAGCCGCGAATGGCTTTCTCTCGAAGTGGATGCGGCGTGAGACCTCGGAGCTATCAACGGGCGACCGGGCGACGACGTTGACCTACTGATACCGAATCGCTCCTAGCGCGAATTTCCGATGGATCGTTACCGTCGCGCGATGTCGTCATCTCGGTTACGGCACGAAATCGTCGCGTCGCCTGCGACGATACATCTACGTGACGCGATATTGTTTTCGTTCTAGGAAATCGGCCGACATACCGACGTAACTAACAATGTAATCGACGCGGCGCGGCGCGGGCGCGCGTTTCGCGTGCTATCTCTTTTCGCTTCGAGGTAAGCGCCGGACATTCTCGGTAGATCGCCGTAGCCTTCCGCGAAGGAATTATTTTCACCGGTCCAGGAATGCTCGCGCCGGTTCTCCGGTAACGCGCTCACCGACACTCGCCTGACGAGTCCGGCGACTTAAACGCCGATCGAGCGATACGACGTGGGGGCGTAATAATAATTCGCGGCGACGACGACGTCCCGAACGCGTCGGGACAACGAATGGAAATCTTTCCGTCGAATCAAGTGGAGTATATGAAGATAAATGACGTCGAAGTGACTCGCCACGATGATCAATGAATCTCGCTGTGAATCTGCGTCGCCGCACGGTTGACGCTACGTGCGTATTTCACGGCCTGTTCTAATCACCGAGAATTCTCATCTGGGAATTAAATTCCTCGAATCTTTTCTCGTTTATTTCAACTTACGCATGGATATGCGAAATTTGTGTAATTACGTATTCTAATTTTTTTTAGTTATAATTAATATCCACTACAAATATTTATTATAAAAATTATGAACGATTAATGTTGAGAAATTCACTTGACTACTTACTTTGGGTCCTTAACCATGAGCTTGCGCATAAGATCGCGCGCCTCCTCGGAGACATCTTCAAAGAGATCATCCGGGAAGTCCAGGCGGCACCGGCTAATGTTACAGAACGTCTCTTGCTTGGTGTCTCCACCGAACGGCGAGCATCCCGTTAGCAGCACGTAGAGCAGCACGCCAACGGACCACATGTCGGTCGCCAGGCTGATCGGCTCGTAATTCAGAACCTCCGGGGCTGAGACACACACGGCAGATGAGCCGTTATTATATCGTGGTACATCGAACCCTAATGCTCGTCAGATTGTGCGTATATGTGTATAAGCGCGCGCGCGTGTGAGTCCCGGTAATTAAATTCAGAAAAAAAAACAAGATAACGCCTTTTTTTTCCCCTCGACCTTTCTGCCATTACATCGTCGCGGCCGTTATTATGACGCGCCAATGCACCGATGCTTAATGGAGCCACGCGTGTTCTTCAACGGGATAATAATTGTAACCACGGACATATTAGGCCCCAAGCGCGAACTAGGTAATCACTACGATACGCGTGAAACCGCGGTTCGCTCGTTTATCGCGTCGTAATAGTCGCTACAGTTTTTCCTCACCTCCGTTTAATTGCGAAGATCCACGTACTGTTTTTTTTATCGCGCCAACGGTCTCGCTAATTTCTGCGAATAATCTCAGAACTAACGCTAATCGACTAATTAAAGATTTAATTTCCTCACCGACGAGGAAATAACAATCAGAGTTTCTTAGTTCAATTAAGGCCAATCTTTTCTCTTTTGTTTTTTATTCGATAGCACGATACGCGATTTTGAAGTTACTTTTCAGTTTATCTTCGCGGTGCAAAGGTTATTTTTTTTTCCAAGACAATTTCAAGCGATTTCGTAACCACGAGGGTGTAACCGGACCATTTGAAGACTTTTCGATTTTCTCCGTGAGATTATCGCGTTTCACTATTACCTAACACCTTCGTCCACTTAGGGCATGACCGTTAGACGGTAGTGCGATGTAATTGCGACGGTAATCGGTTGCGAGGATCGTAAAAGGGTCCTCCTGACCGATCGGGCGCGCAGAACCGACCACGTGCGGTTCTCTGGCTTTATAGCCGCGAAGTGGCTTGTTCTGTTCAATTATGCAACGCGGCTATTTCCCTAATGGAACTACGCAGCACGAACCGTACGAGTGATTTCTTAGCATCAAACAGATCGCAAACGTGGAACACATGAAAGTGCGACCTCGTCGCACTCCGATCGACTTCCGAGGCCGGAAATTCTCGCTCGGTACGTTCACCGTCTGTACATGGAACCGCATCAAAACAGGCTCGTTTTAAGTATCAGGATTGTAGCCTGTTATCCTTAGTGACACGCACAGATCCGAAACGTTTAGGAAAACGCGCGCAGGTGTTGAGTACGATTACGGTTCTCGCGCGAACGCCCGGGTATTTATCACCGACGAACTGGTGCGCGAGTCCTTCCAACTTGGTAGCGTTTCACGGTGACGAGCGACATATTCGGAGTCCATTACTCAAGTCGAACGAAATGAAACTGCGTTCGTGGAAGGCCGTGAGTCGCGCGCAGAGTAAAGTAAGTACTCACCAACATAGTCGGGCGTGCCCAAAATTTCTCGTATGTCCGCTCCGTGACTGATGTACCGCGATATGCCAAAGTCACATAGCTTTACGTCGCAGTCCGGGAATTCTCCAGTAAGTACCAAATTTTGCGGCTGAAACATATCAAAAGGCAAGAGGTTCAATAAAAGACGACTCGCTGTCATTGACAAGAGAAAGGCCGTTATTAAAATAAAATTGCTACGGAGTAGATCGTAACTGTTTTAACTGTATACGTTTATACATCATGCGCATGTAATTTCTCGAAATTTACTTAAAGACAGTCCGAGGCGTATAGCCTGTGAAATCCGAGCGAGGAGAAAAAAGAAGCGAGCAGGTTTTTATCTCGCGGTGATCACCGTGCGACAATGCCAATTTCCTGCCGCGAGATAATATGGAGAAAGTAAAGCTTCTTTTCAGAAGAGGACGCACGATGATTGCTCTCCGGTATGTTCTCTCCCTTGGCCGTTAACACGGACAAAAGCGGCCCCGGGTGCTTTCATGGTCTCGGTCAATTATCAGAAGCACGCAAGCGAGCGGGCCGAAACACTTTTTTCTACATCGGACAACATCTCAGGAATTTCGGCGCCGCCATGCAAATATAGCGATAAATTACACGGCTTATAATTACAGGTACATTCTCCTTTCAGAGGTAGATACATACGTTCCTGCGATACCGCGATTTGCTGTTTAATTTTAGCCGGCGTGGCCTCGAGCGGATCTCACATCTCGGCGGAATTTTAATTCGAGTCCTAATTATCGAAAGACCGCCCAATACACCGCCGCGCCGCTTCGGAGTTCCGAAAAATAACAACTTCCGCGTCGACTACGCGCGATAGAGATTTTTGCCGCGGCGCCATCCAGTAGATGATTAATCGTCGGAACGAGGCAAGGCGGAGAAAGGAAATGCGGCGCGTACGTAACGCACGCGGCATTCTTATTTTTTTTTTTCGATGATCAGGTGGAAGAGAGGCAACGAACGTCCACATTATAATAACATGAGTCTGCGTAGGTGTCTCGCGCGAGGCATAATGCCTGGACGTAAACGATTCCGCGATAAGAAAGGTCGTCGCGCGGCCTAGGTGCAACTCTCGTGCCCACATGACATCCTTTCTTCCTCTCCCCCTTCCCTCTAGCGCATCTCACGCTGACTCTTTCCTCGGAAAACAATCGAACAATGCCGAAGGGGCTGCGGATAGAGGCCGCGGATGAAGCCCGAGTCGCCGGGGAAGAGCGAGAGACGAGAGGAAGCTCGTTGCCGGTCCATTGTCAACGCTCCGCGGCTGGTTTACGACCACCTAGGTCGCTCGAGAATTATGTCTTCAGTGAGATCGCGTCTCCTAAGGATGCCATTATCGGTGCGCTTTATTAAAGAGAACGCGTACGGTGGTGAACCATCTGGTCACGGCGTTTTATCCACGTCGTTTGCTCCTTTCGATTATACGCGCGAAAGGGAGCTGTTGTTGTATTAAATACCTTTAATGAGGTACCGACGGTTCGAATTGCTCTCGTAAAGCAATTCGAACCTTCGGGGAATAGCCGACGACAACTCAGTCTCGTTCGAATGTTTGCGCGCAGATGTTTGCCATGCAGCTTGCGAAGGGCCTGATGAAAGAGCGCGGATCACAATTACGCTCATGGGAGTGACAAGTCATCGGCCATAAAAAAAAAGAGTTAAAACGTTAACTCGATTAGGGTGAAAATGAAACGATGTAAATGTAAACCTATTCAACTTTCGTCTACTGCCGCTATTGTAATGCTAAATTCAAATAGAAAGCTATTTCTTATCGCAAGTTGTGCGAAATTTGCATGATTGATGACATCGTTTTTTGTTGAGCCAAGCGCAAGAAATTGTGATTCGTGTCCGGCCCGACCGCACCCCTCTTCCGACACAAAATCGATCAATTTAAATAACGTCCGTGGCTTTCGGGATGCAGAATATTCGCACGTGATTGACGGCACGGAGACTCGCCGGAGCTCGGAGTCGAAGGGAGAGGAGCACTTGCCGGTGCACGATGCATTACGAGATGCGATCGAGAACAATTTTCGCGATAATCGATCGGCTCGCCCACACCCAATCGTCACGTCGAGAGCTAACGACGACGTCGACACACGCTCGAGAAACCCGGCTGCGAGCTCCTCGCATAATGGTTAATCATGGAAATGTCTTTGTTCCTTATTAGAGTGACTTCCTGGACTGGAAGCGTATACCTAATACTCTATTAATTCCTACGCAACGCGTGCGGTACGCGCATTGAAAAGGGAACGCGACAGTGCCACGTATAGTTCTGATTTTCCGGATTCCAGATCACCAGTCGTGTCAATCCGGAAACTAGACGGCGCAATCTCATAATAGCGTAATGAGAATTTCCTAGCTAATTTGTTACCGCTATTATTACGAATTAATGGCACACATTAACAAGAGTAGATAAGCGACTATTATTTTATTAATGTAAAAACCTCAGATACAAATCTTAATTATGCATTCTGTTTTCGAAAGTATAAAGAGTTTGGTAAGTGGGATAAGAATGAGCGCACGGAATTAGACCGATGAAACGCGCAAATATTGAGAAATTAGGACGGTGTAATTTTTTCAACCAAAAATAGCCTCGTTCTAGTTGAAATTTCAAAAGGAGACAAAACGTGACACGAGGAAAACCAACCAGCAACCTCGCGGTGTCACGGAGCCGCTTTTAAATCATATTATTCGTCGTACATTGAGTAGCTCATGATGAAGCCTGGTCACGTCCGACTCGTAACTCGGTTTAACGAAACGTAACACACAAACTGAATCCTCGAGCGTGCCGAGTGCCTTTGTTCCATCCACATCCTTTTACAAACGACGAGACAATGTCCGATAAATCGCTGCTCCGAATTTCGACGGCTCCACGTATCAAATTCAAACGCAACTTTAATCGTCGATCTTTAATTATTCCTCTCGTTATACGCGAGAGCGTGAAACGTAAACGCACGAACGCGAATCAGTCGTGATTCAGACGGTGATTTGAACCCAATCCTGTTTAGTTAGCGCGAGAGCGGCGCACATTGGCACGTAGAAATTCCGACATACGCGACAGAGCGCGTTCGAAGGGGGCCTAGCTGCCTTCGACAAACGTGTTCCCGGTAACGACAGGTCCGATGCAACGTGCCCCATAGCTGCCTACGGCACCTCGCGCATCGGGCGTGCATTTTTCGAGGGGACACACGTCGGTCTTGGCGTCCATTACACGCTCGACGGCAATCTCGCGCCACTTAATTTAACGCGCTCAATAAACGACGACTATTCCGACGAAGTGCGCTCGTCACGTAATCGAGGTAATTAATCGTGACGCGAGCGCGCGTCGTCCATTCGCTCTTATTCCTATCTTATAGACCGATGCAAGTTGCCTCGAAATTTTTTTGTTCTCATCGCGAACTCTCCCCGCGCGTCTCCTTCAGGACTTACTTCGCCCTTAATTAACGACGCGAGATGCGCGACGTAGATCCCTCGCGTATTTCAATACAAGGTACTCGCGAACACATCGTCGTTCGTTCGAAACTCCATATCTTCTCTGTGATCTGCTTGAGCTCAAGGTTTCCTTAACAACAACGTCGATCAACAGCTGGCGAGATGCGCAAAGAAAGTCTCCGCGGTCGTAATAAAATATACAATTCAAAAATACCTGCCTGCTTGATTACGAGCGAGACGCCCGAATGAAAATAAAGCGTAACTGAGTCAAATCGATCACCTTTCTTTTCTCGCGATATAGACACGCTTCCTGCAACATGCCATCTATTTTTACCGTTCTTGCGTAGTTTTGCACAACTTCTGGAGAAGTGCTGACGCGGCGTGCCCGACGTAAATATCGATCGAACGCACCCTTGCGAATTGTAACAGGTGTTCCTGTGCCCGTCGCAGCGGGCACTTCTGTCGGATGTTAGCGCTTAAGTGCCGCGACCCGCGCAAAAACGATTTACAGGAAGGACGCGCGTCATTAAATCGAAGCCGGCGGTTATTCATCTTGCGTCTTGGCTGTACAAAAAATCACGGTCTACGACAATTCTCACGGCCGCCATTCATGCGAGATTTTAACTGTGTCGCCATGTGATTAAGACGACTTTCCACAGAATTACTTTAGATACAATTTACGCAATCGGGCGCTACCCCCGCCTGTGCCTACCGGAGGAGTGAAGACAAGGAGATTTCACGGGGAATTAACGGGGCAAGTCTCCACGTCGTTATCCAGCGAGGAGTACATTGTCCTCGTAAAACGTAAGAAATCATCCGCGGGATAACGGTGCGTCTTCCGTCTTTCAAATGTGTTTCTTCTTCAGCGCACAATGCGCGACACATCGCGCGCGTGAAAAGTCGGGCGCGAGATGTTTAATCAACGCAGCGCGGAGGAGAGGGGAACCGAGAAAGGGGAACCCGTTGTGGTCGTTACGCTCGCGCATCTCGTGCTCGTTAGGCGTGTCAATGAGCGCCTGTGATCCGTAATTAGCCCGCCAATCCGCTTAACAACGTGTGACACTTCGTGAGCCGGATTGCGTACGTGAGCAAACGGCACGTAGAAGCGGGAGCCGTCGAAAAAGGTGGACGACCTGGTCGCTTTACCCGCTTTTCATCGGAGGTACCGCGAACGTGGACGACGCGACGGCCCGGCCGTTCGCCGGAACGAGGCGGAACGGAAACAATTTGACCGATGATCGATTGCATCGCAACCGATTAGAACACGTTCACCTTCCGATTACGACAATTCCTTGTTTCTCGCGTGAGGTAAAATGTAGTCGTTAAGATAATACGCGACGCGCCGGGCGAGTTTGTGCGCGAGCGATCAATATCCGTGTCTCGGTACTTTCATTACGCGCAAGCCAATCCTTTCGCCGAGCGATAACCGCCCTCCGCCTCCGCTTCTCTTTTCTCTCTCTCTCTCTCTCTTGTTTGTTCGAACTTGATTGCGTGTCTAATATGCCGGAGCACGCATACGCGCACGCAAGAGTTTCGCACGCGCGGCCTACCCGCCTTCCCCTTTTCTCGGCCACCGGAAGTTTCAATGAACGCGAGAGACGTATCCTCATAAATCCGTCGGCTAAAAAGCATTGGGCCCCGCAGGCCTCGATTCGTTGCCTCCTTTTC